TTCTAAGTTATTTCCCTTATTTGGGAGCAAGAAGCATATCCAAATCTAGCTAAGTCTTCTGCAAAAAATCAAATAACTGTAGATGCTGGAAATCAGAAGCAAAAACAGAAATTGCTGGAAAAACTCAGCAAAGCTGGCAGCACCTGTAAAGAGAAAGCAGAGTTAACATTTCAGACCCCTTGCCCTTTCTTCAGAACTGTTTTTGTTCAAGACTTCTGCAATACAGGAACGAAAAGGACTTTCTTTAAGCTATTGGTGTTTCCCCTATGCCAAAAAAACAGTCCATTCATCCTGGGACCTTCAACCTAATGCCTAATAATGCTTACACTGTTTGCTTATAAAATTCACCTAATAAAAACAAAGCCTCATTACTCTCTATGAAATCTCATCCCGTTTTGAAAGAAATGGCCGTAGCTAGATGAATACTTAGAAGTAAATCATTAAACCCCTTCGTAGACGTCGACCAAACTCACCGCACTAGTTCAAATCTAAATTCTATTATAAATTATATATATGTGTATTTATCATGTATATATATATAATAATTTTATATGTCCCATACCTCTTATTATAATAGAATAAGCATATATCTAGTGACTTGGGTTCTCGGTCTCCAGTCTGGATAATTACACAGATTTTCATAGACTCCCTACAGCGTGGAAACGGGCAATTCAGCCCATTGAGTCCACCACAGAGCATCCCACCCAGACCCACCCCATCTCCATATTTCCTATGGCTAATCCACCTCGCTGGCACATCTTTGGACTGTGGAAGGAAACCACACCTGAAGGAAACCCACACAAACATGGGGAGAATGTACAAACTGCACAGGCAATCTCCCAAGGCTGGGATTGAACCCAGGTCCCTAGCACTGTGAAGCAGCAGTGCTAACCACTGAGTTATTGTGCCACCCAAAGGCTTTTGTTGCTGCTACTGATACCTTCTCAATGCCCATTCACTGAAATTTGATCTGTTATAACTGCAGTAGGTGCATCCATGTCGATGAAGGCACATTCTGCCCATGGACTATAGCTTCACTGAACTGGATGACAGCAACACACTTACGTCAACTTCTCAAGTGGTACCTTAGAAGACACAGGCAGCAGTTTTGATCTGAGAGATCACAGGTACAATCAGGCAGCAGCTTTTACTTCTCAGATGATAGTTTAGCAGGCAGATTCAGCCAGCAGCTTTTATATCCTATCTTATGCATAAGGAAAGACTTATAGCTTATGGCTTAGAGACTTTAGCAGCGAAGGAATGGCATGAGAATGTGGGTAAAGGAAACCATGATGAGTTAGGATAAAAGAAGGGATGAGTCAATGCATAGCACAGTGTCAATGTCAAAAGTGGTGCATTTATCAAAAGCTTATACAGCAAACAGTGCATGTGCTTGAAGAGCTGGCAATGGTGAACATTCAAGAGGAGGCATGCTTAGTTGGACAAGGGTGGACCCAAGTTAACTAGGAGTACTATCACAGTCAATCCCAGGGCTGAGCCATTTTCAGTCCATCAGGTTGCCCTCAGCAAAACCTGGCAGTCCAGCAAAATCAGTTTGGGCCTGATTAGCTGCTCAGCCTTGGTCATCAATCCAGTTCAGTCCAGGACATTGGCTGCAGTCAGTCTGGGTTGTCATGTAATATCTGTTCATGGCATGGGGTACGTTCAGTAAGTGAGTTAGGGCATACATAATCCACGGGGGTCTTTGGGTCAATCCATGACATCCTTGAGACTGCAGGAAGCACAATTCTGGGGATTGGACTGATTGTGACTTAGAGAGTGGTCACAGAGATGGGAGGTAATTCTAGATAATAGGATAGGAGCTAGTACGGTTTGGGAGGGAATTATATCATATCAAAGGAAGGTCAAGGCAAGTCGCAGTCAACACTTAATGCAGGGAAGGTGCAGGTCCAGCAAGGATGTCAGTGCCTCAGTAGTCATAAAATCTGGGGATAAAATGGGAAGATTAATGCTCACATAAAGGGGTTCAATCAAAATGTGGGGAGGGTTACAGTTCATCAGAGGCAAAGGGAGCATGACACGGTAGGGGATATGAAAATTAGGGGCTATGTCATGATCAAAGGTGGAGCCTGCAAGTTACTGCAGTGAATGCAACTTCTAAACATCACTGTATAAATTCAAAAAGGCAAGTGAGTAAATAAGGTTTCAATATTGACAAAGCAGAATCGGAAGTAGGAGTAGTAAATACCTATTGCTTTGATTAGGGCAGAATTCAATGTTGGAATGTGAGACCACCTAAAGGTCTACTTTATAATCCTGAGTCCAGCAATTACACACTGTTGTATACCTGTCTTCAAACCACAGTTAAGCAGTTAATTTCCCACCTGCCCAATGGGTGTGTCATGTCCAAACGTTGATTAAAAGTAATATTTATTCCCCTTATAGGAACCAATTTGCACCTCATCTCCTGAAGTACTGAAAGAGAGCATCTTGTGCCTTGTTTGCTATGTTACATAAGGACAGAAGAACTAGAAGAAGTAGTGGGTAATTCAGTCCTTGAGCATGCCATGCCATTTGATATAATCATGGCTGAGCTCAGCTTGGCCTGAACGTTATTTTCCTGCCCACTCCCAATAATCTTTTCACTTGTTTCTAATTAAAAATCTGTCTTTCTCCTCCTTAACCTTACTCAGTGTCTCGGCATCCACCATACTCCAGGATATTGAATACTGTGGAATTCACTACCCTTTAATTCCTACTCTTCTCTGCTTTAAATCTGCCACACCTTAGCCCAAAATTATGATGTCTTGCTCTAGATTGGCACACAAGGAGAAATATCTACTCTATGTCAACTTATATACCTCAACTTATATACCTCTTCTTACATGCCTCAAATTCATGTCCTCTCATTCTCCTAAACTCCAGAGAGCGAAGTCCTAAACTGCTCAATCTCTCTTCATAGACAAACCTTTCAGCTCTGGAATTAATCTAGTAAACTTTCTCTGAATCACTTCCAATGCAATTACATCCAACCTCAAGCAAGGGGACGAAAACTGTACACAGTGTTCCAGATGTAATCTCACTAATGCCTTATACCATTTTTGCACCACTTCCCTACTTTTATACTCCGTTCTTTTGCAATAAATGCCAAAATTCAATTTGCCCTCCTTATCACCTGCTGTACTAGCTTTCTACAATTCAAGGACAAGGGCACCCAACTCACTCTGTGCCAAAGCATTTTGAAGTTTTTCTCCATTTACATAATAAATTGCCTTTCTATTCCTGATCAAAATGGATAACCTCACACTTATCAACATTAAACTCCATCTGTCAACATTTTGCCCATTTACGTAACCTATACATACCCATCTGTAAGTTTCTTATTTCTTCATTGCAGCTTACTTTCCCATCTATATTAGTGTCATCTGCAAATTTGACTATAGTACATTCTACCTCTGCATCCAGGTTATTAATATAGATTATAGATAGTTGGAGCCCAAGGACCAAACCTTATGGCACTATACTAGTTTAATCTCACCAATCAGAGAAAGACTAATTTATCTTGACTTTGTTTTCTGTTGGTAAGCCAATCTTCTATCCAAACTAATATCTTACCCCTAACCCTGTGTGATCTTACCTTGTGTATTAATATTTTGTGCAGCACATTATCAAATGCCTTTTGGAAGTCCAGATATACTACATCCACAGGACCCTTATTGCTTGTTACATCTTTGAAGAACTCGAGTAAATTAGACCCTAATTATCCCTGTAGTGCTTCAGAATGAATGAAACTTCACAGTACTCTTGTAATGCCTTAGCATCATGACTGACAACATCTCTACTACAGTGAACTGTGAAGTGTTCTGTGATATGTTCCTTCTGTTCAGCTCCATAATGATGGCGAATTGATGTGTGAGTTACCCCATTTCCCACATCACATTATTATATGTTATCATTTACAATATATAATAATATAATTGCTGGAGAATCCTAGACAAAAGACAGACATCTCCTTCTATGAGACTGTAAGCACATGACAGACTCAGCCATTACACTCATAAGGTGCATATATAGACATCCAGGTACTAGCTCCTCACTAGGTCCTTATTGCTACCCTCAGTGTCCTTAACATTTATCTGTAGTGCTTTGACACAATCTGCAACTTCTACGTGTGTGTGGTTCCCTGACAGATGAGGTTATCTTCAGTCTATCCTTTTGCTGGTTGAAGATAACCTGCTCCAGTCCCATTGAAACAACAACACCACAACAAACACCTTAGATAGATGATGGCCTATTGGATGTGTGCAAAGTAGGAAATGAACAAGAAACCACAGCCAGAGGATAGAAATGGTGATACAGAGGGTAGGGAGAAGATTTAAACACAAGGTTGAGAATTTAAAATTTGAGGAGCTTGGGAAAATGGAACCATTGGAGTTCTATAAGTAGGATGAGTTTGCAGAGAATGAAGAATAGGATCCTAAACTGCAACGAAATGACCATGTGTGAAAATGATAATCATGGTAAAGATCTCAGCTGCAGGTGGGCTAAGGTAGATTCACAGAAGAATAATTTACAAGGTTTGTTCTAGACAGTCTCTGTAAAGACAATGTATGCACCTGAAGATCAATTTAGTATCAAACAGAATACTGAGGTAGTGAATGCTCTGATTTAGTTGGAGACTGTGGTTACGGACAGTGATGAGATTAGTGCTAAGTGTTCAAAGTTTGTGGTGGATGTTGTACTATGAAAGGTAAATGGAAGGGACACAATTTAGTAATTAAACTCTCTCAAATTTAAAGCCTTTCTCTTTTTCCACTCCATTTCATTGCTATTGTATATTATTTTTGCTTACTTACTTTTTGGTGGTTTGTATTTATCAATTTTTAGTCTCCATTCCCCCTCCTCTCTCTACCTCTCATTCTGTGACTTTGTTTACTTTTTTAAAATCAGTGTGTTGCATCAGTGCTGGAGCATGCCTAATGCGAGCCCTGCTGTATAAAGTTTGTTGCCCTGGTGCTACAAGGTTCTCTTTCATTTAGGAGCTTAATTGCTTTGGTCCAGTTGCAGTTTAAATCTGCCGTACATTTTTTGAACAAAAGAAAAGAAGCGTAGAAATGGCATCACTCAAGGTAAGAACTATAAGAATATCTTTGTTAGACATAAATGTGTTTTATTCATTACAGAAATAAAATTTCATAAACATCCTGTATAATTTTTTGTTCATCAATGTTGAAATAATTATTGTTATAGTTCTTGGTTCCAGTTTACTAAAAGATAAAACCAAATTCATGATATATATTCCATTTTCTATTGTCTCCCAACTAATTGTACGAACATTTCTAACTTTCTTTGGCCAGTTTGATTTATTACAAAAGTACTATCCTCCTAAATAATGTTTACTTATGTAGTTATTATCAGTTGCTGGTCTTAGTGCTGAAATTCTACTGCATTTTATTATTCTCTTTTAAATACATACTTTTCTCCAATATGTCAATATTTATTATTTTCATTCACAAAAAGTTGCTCACTATTGGAAAGAAATACATAGCAGTGTGTTTTCGGTTAAAGATCAGTAGTCTGTGACTGTCGACTGCACGACTTTCAGACTTTGATCACAAACATATTTTGAAATTTAGGTATTGCAGGAACAAGAGCCAATAAGCAGGAGGCTGAATGTAGCTGCCTACTGACAGAAGGTCACAGTCATCATGGGGACATTGTCCTGTGCCTTCTCATTATTATGGAATATATTGAAGCCTTTTTAAGCAGTAATGCTGCCTCTTTCAAACTTCATAATTTTAAAAATATCATTTGCAATTATATAATTCTGTGATAATCCTGTCTTAATTTCTACAAAAATGTTTAGCAAAGGAGCACAATTTACCAAAAGAATTGCAGAGGCAAATAAATGATGGCAACATGTGCACAATATTCCTACTTCCACAAATAATTAGGAATCCTTCCAGAAAGAAGAATGTACAGGCATAGGAAAGGTGGGCGGTATCTAGATTATATAACTACCAACAGACTTGCAAGGATTAAACATTGTCAAGGGATTAAACAGATTGTAGAAGGTAGCCACAAGGCTGGTATTGACTCAAAACCTGAGAGATTTTTATGAACTAGAGACCTGGAATAATTACGGAGATCATAGGAAGAGGGAGAACTGTAAGGAGGTATTTACATGAATGCCAAAAAAAATAAGAAATGCTGGAACTGGAGGTTGTTGCATAAATCATCGAAACATAGCTAACTCCAGAGGGTGAAGCATTCAGGAGCAGAACAGTTTTTAGATCAAAGAAAGTGGATTATATTTATGTAGTCCTGTGTGTCAGAGATACCTGGCTAAGAGACATAACTGATCTTGTGGGAGATAAAAAAAATCTTCAGAATGAACCAAAATAAAACCAAGAACTGCAAATGCTGAAGATCTGAAACAAAAACAGAAATTGCTGGAAAAACTCAGCAGGTTTGGCAGCACCTGTCCAGGGAAAGCAATGCTAACTTTTCAAGTCCAGTGACTCTTCTTCAGAATGAATCATTCTGTTTGGATAACTACTTTGTACATTTGCTTAGTAGTTATGATATGGACTAATAATCCTGAGGTTAAGGTCAATATTAAAAAGAACATGAGTTCAAATCTCACTACAGCAGATCCAAATTTTGAATTCAGTTTAAAAATATCATCTGGAAGTCAAATCTTATGTTAACAAAAATAAATATACTGAGAAAAATCAAGTAATATAGATATCTTTCACATGTGATTCTTGACTGAATGCAGTGAAGAAGCCACAGGTTCTGATATTTCTTAATAACCCGATCAATGTAAATGAAATACATCATAGCAACACTTCAGTGGAAGATAAATAGAACACTGTTAAGGGTCCAAGGCCATAGATGAAAGTTAAAATCAATAATCTCAGTTTAACTAAATATTGACCTAATTAGATTAACAAAGGTGAGACAGAAAAAGAATAATTTGTGTGAATCGTGCAGGGACAAACAGGGAAGGGCTCAATGTGAAGAATAATACAGTCAGAGACACTTGGAAAGGATGATCAGAGAGGATAGGGAGACCTGGGAATTGGTATCATAGCTGAAGCTAAGTACAACAGTAAAATTTCTTTCAGACTATAACTATGAACAAGCAATCAGGGAAGAGGTGAAAACTGTACACGATACAGCTTGTACCTCACAGGAAGGTATGATCAACCACAAACTCTCCAAACAATCAATGATTTCACTCTAAATCAGATAGAAACATAAAACCGGTTGAATGGCCTCAAAACAAATGGATCACAAAGGTGTATGATAGTTATTGCACGCTATCAAAAGAAAATAGGAAGGAGACTTGTAATATACTAATATTCATATGAACAGAAAAGGCAGCAGTATTTTAGAAACAGGCTGATGTGGTGTCTATATCAAATAAAAAGGATAGACAATGAAAAACCCAGTGTTCTTACTTCCATTCTTTGTAAAATAATGGAATTGATTATCAGGAGTAAACTGTGCAGTATCAGCTTATTTAATTATAGTCTCTGTGGATTCAAGGGTGAGATACTGCCTGACCATTTTTGTTTTGATTTCCTTGTGGACTGTTATGACCAATAACTTGATCTCTCAAAGGCTTTTGATACATTTCCACATTCTTGCCTCTACCACCCTTTTAGGCAGTGAGTTCCAAATACCCAGGTATTTCTGGGTGAAATTATTTCCTCAAATTCCCTCTACTCCTCTATTTACCTTAAACCCATAGCACCTGGTTATGGACTCCTATACTAAGGGGAAAGGTTTCTCCCTATCTACCCTGTCTATGCCCCTCAGAACTTTGTACACTTCAATCAAATTCACCCCTCAGCCTTCTCTGCTCTAAGGAAAACAATCCCATCCTTTCTAGCCTCTCTTCTATCAATAGCTGAATCCTATCAACTAAATTCATATCTGTGAGTCTAATCTAGAAAAGGTACCCACTGAGGTGCCAGCCTCTGTGCTGGTGGATGGTGCAAGGGAAAGCCTTGATGGTACATCCTCTCAGGGTTCCTGTCGTCAGAGGCGGATGTGAACCTAAGAGTCCTGGTTTCTACCCAGCCAATGTTTGTTGAGTGTCACAAATGTGTGCATAAGGGGAGGGAATTAGTTGTTAACGATGTATAAAGGCTTCTGAATATTAAGAATGGTTAATGCAGAGGGTAATTGGAGAGCAGTACAGTTGGTCACGATGATGTTTACAGAATTGGTTGGTTATTGATGTCTCTCTATCCCTACATAAGCTGTCATGCTCTTTGCTGCCTGGATTAATTCCTCCTCGTAAGGAGTGAGCAGCCTGATGTCCAGCACTTCCTGCTGGTCTTGGATCTTTCAGCCTGATTGTGGGTCAAATTTTCCTCCCTTGGGGCAAACAGAGAGAATCAAGCGGATGGAAGAGAAGTTTCTGGAGTTGCAGGCGCAGGGGACATGACAAGATGTCCCCAGTGAGTGAGTAGGAAGTGCAGAGGGCAGGAAGGGTTTGTAGTTTGGGAGGATGAGGTGGATGAGAGCCGTATCCACATGCTGCACACAATCCTGCGATTTGTAGTCCATGAGTCTTGGTGAGACTTGTGCATAGTGGTAGTGCAAGAGTGTGCACAGGTCCTATGGGTGTGAGCTAGCAGGAAGAGGATGGTGGCATTTACCCTTGTGGAGCACTGGCTCAAAAAGGACTGTCTTTCTTTCTCTCCAATACCCCATCTGCCAGCACTTCCAGATCCTTCTCTGAAGCAGAGGAATGAGGTTTCCTTTGCTCTGGGCCATGTATTCATTAGTAATGATTGAGCACCACACTGGGTCAGTCTGAGCTTACAACCTCTAAAACAGCAAGCAGCTGGCCTTGAAGTATGACACAAGTAGCATGAGCATTGCAAAGTCCCATCAGTGGCAAGCACGTCAACCTCTTGTGCTGCACAATGCCCACAGAAAGGCCGAGGAACCCTATTCCATTCCATAATTAATGAGGTGAAGAGCAGAATCAGAAAAACAGAAAAGACACTGCGAAACACTGGTGGGCCAGACTATCACTTGACAAAACCCTCTGTCTTAGCTTAATTCTAGTCCTTTGAATAGTTCTGTAATAGTCCTCATTGTACTCTTGTGTTATAGAGTCATAGACATTTTACAGCATGGAAAGAGGAATTTCAGCCCATTGCGTACTCACCAGTCATAAAACATCCATCTAATCCCATTTTCCAGCATTTAGCCTGTAGCCTTGTATGCTACAGCATTTCAAGTGTTCATCTAAATAGTTCTTAAATGTCTTGAGGGTTCTTGCCTCTACCATCCCTTTAGGCAGTGAGTTCCAGATACCCAGGTATTTCTGGGTGAAATTATTTCCTCAAATTCCCTCTACTCCTCTATTTACCTTAAACCCATAGCGCCTGTTTATGGACCCCTATACTAAGGGGAAAAGTTTCTCCCTATCTACCCTGTCTATGCCCGTCAGAACTTTGTACACTTCAATCAAATTCACCCCTCAGCCTTCTCTGCTCTAAGGAAAACAATCCCATCCTTTCTAGCCTCTCTTCTATCAATAGCTGAATTCTTCCAGCCTAGGGAACATTTTGCATCCTCTCTAGTGCAATTGCATGTTCCTAATTATTCATGAGAATGTGAAAAAAAATCTTCAAATAGTCTAAGTCCAATACATTGAATTACTTCACAAAAATAGCTGGGACACATAGTTATTTATATTCCACAGTTGCCTCCTCCTACCTAGAACTACCAGCATAACTGTCTCTTCCTTTTGCTCTAATGTGTTGATGTAGCCTCATCTTAAATGCACTCCCACATACTAAAAATTCTCTGGGATAAGATATTTCTTCCGAATGCCTTATTGGATTTATTAATGACTATCTCATATTCTTGGTTTCTAATTTTGGATTCATCCCGTGACACCAGAAATGGAAACACCTTCTCTATATCTGCCCTAACAAACACAATCAATAATTTTAAAGTTATCCTTCAGCCTTTAGTTTTTAGAGAATAGAATCATTTGTTCAAATGTCTCTGATTAATAAAGCCTTTCACTTCTGATGTTATCATTGCCCATCTTTTATTTGGTAGAAAAGAGGAGGAGATCCATACTTTGAGCTTATCCTTACTCAGGCATGACGAACGAGCAGTGCTTCGAAAGCTTGTGACTTCAAATAAACCTATTGGACTATAACCTGGTATCTTGTGACTTCTGACTCAGGCAGGATAATAATTAGAATTGGTGGAAAAATAAATTTAAATTACCATTGCCTTAAGCCTGTATTTCCAGATAAATATACACACCTTCCAAAAATATATATTTAGCTTAGAAATTTCAAAGCATCGTTATGAAATATTAAAAAAAATTTCAAGTTATATAACTGTTAAATCAGGTGTTTGCATAAAAAAAAACCAAAGAAACAAAACAAATACATTTTCTAATCAGGCATAGAATTTGGTGCAACAGGCTATTTTCATCAGTTGCATACAAAAATACTGAAATAACAGTAACTGCTCACTGTCTATTCTTTTCCAGTACATGACAGGATTTGGCAATGAATTTTCGTCAGAAGATCCAAGCTGCCCTGGGTCCCTACCAAAGGGTCAGGTAGTGTACAACTCTCCCATTTGTCTTGTGTATGCGGTAAGTTTAATAGGAGCAGGTGTAACCCACAGGCCTGCTGATTCACTGGCATTTTTCACTCAGTTCTGATGGTTATCTGCACAGCCAGTTTGATGATTCAAACCCTACTTGTAGGCTTGATCTTATTAAAAATAACACTTCAGTGCAGTTTGCAAAGCCCTGCTGAGGCACCAAATCAAATTTCAGTGGTAAAAATGATCTCCATAGTATACGTGCTTGAAACATGACGTTTTCTTTGAGCTGCCCACAGAATGACACAGAGTGCATATCATTTTCTGTTTTTATTTCAGATGTCTAACATTTGCATGTTTTTATTTTTATTCTTACCACTTTCAAAATGAAAGTGAGATTGCTGATGCTGCAGTGATGCTGTTTAATTTTGTTACCTATTAAGAATGCTACACCCTTGTTCTCTTTTGACTTCTTATTATGGTGTATCACTGGTCCATATTAATAATAGAATTCTAAAATGATGGCCATACATGCTTTCTTTAACTACAGAGTGTTTTTTCAAGATTCCTTTCCATTCACTAGATCCGCAAATGAAAGGAACCATGAACAATTCAGGCAATATGCGATATTTTATACACCTGAATCTCCAATAGGGAACCTTACAATGTATTTTGTAAACTGGGTGGATGCTTCTCATGCTTTTCCAATAAAATCAAGTTCAGAAAATAACAAGCAGTCAGTTTGAAAATGCAATCACAGTAAAAAAGGTACTGTGCTCATGGGATGATAAAAACAAACTAATACTAGGTTCTAGTTATTGAAGAAGTGTTTCAACAGATGTTCCATCAAATCTAAAACTTCCCCCTGCAATAAGTGACCTGCTGGGCCATGGAACATGCTGTTATCTTTATCTCTACTCTTCAGGAAAGTGAGAAAAAGCTACAAACCAAATGGCTAATGTGAAACAAATTTTACACCTACTTTCACTGACTCACATAGCTTTTCTAAATATGCGATAGTGCCCAGAAATCATATAATGTAAAAGTTAAAAAAGTGTGGATATCTGAAATGAAAAGAGACACAAAAAAATGGTTGAAATATTCAGCATTTATTGAGAAAGCATTGGAGTTAAGGGTTTGGATATTCCCAAGGCTGTAGAGGTGGATTTGGAGGTGGAGTGCAAGTTTATTTGGAAAAATGAGCATGAGATCAGCTGTCCAATACTTCCATGTCTCCAAGTACTTCTCCCAATGACACACCAGCAGGTCCAACAGGTTGGAAGCAGCAGGAAGCCAATTAATGATGTTATCGTCAAACTTATCTTCACTTTGCCAGGCAACAAGAGATTTTATTGACAGTACATGAGCTGTGTCAGGGTCCAAAAAATGGACCAGAGCCAATTTTAGCAGCTTTTTTGAGGGATTAAATTTATTTTCTGGCAGTAATTCACAAAGGGGATTGATCCCCAGACCTGCCCTTGCTGCCACTTCGCGGAGCTTTGTGTCTCTTTACCCAACCCAGACTATCCCAGTCCACTGGCACCTCTCTCATCTGACTCTATCCCCTTTCCCATCTCATCATGTGCCATTCCCGGATGGACTGACTGCTCACCAGATATTGACTGAAAAACCAGCACCCCTGCTCCCTGCGCCATCTTTAAAAGGTTGCTGCACACCAGAATGAACACTGGCATTCCAAAACTGCCCTGCCCAGAATGTCAGAACGCGGAAGGGGAGACACAGTTCTTCAACAGTGACCTGGAAGTCCAGGTGGACAGGATGTGGCAAAGGAGGGACATCCTTTTCCAGAAGGACTGGCAGAGGAGGCCACACCACTAGACCTGGGAGCCGGGTTTAAGGATTCCACCTAGTTCCATGTGGCTTCTGCAGACTGGAGGAATGGCCATCAGTGCTACAAGCAGGTCAATGAGCACTTCACCCTGCCAGGGTAAGTGCCACACTCTTCACTCTCTGCTACCCTATATTCACTCTACCTCTGTTACTGTACCCACGCTCACCAAGGCCCATGCTCTGCCACTCCCACTATTGCATGCATCAGTTGCCCTCACTTGTTCTCATGCACCTCCCACAACAATAACCCTGCACAACCTCTGTACCGCCTACTCATTGCTACAGAACACTTCGCTATTGTTACAGAGGGGAATAGCCCAACCCCTCTGATAATTAAACTAAATCACAAGCCACAATCTCTTATGACAGGAGTAGGGGTTCCCCTCTAATAATTACTCCTGAAACACCCAGAAAATGCTCGCTTTTCCCTTTGTAATCCATTCAAAGAGTGCTTAAAAGAAAGAAAATCCCTGATCTCCACTTTACAAGTAACAAGAAACAATTTATTTATTTAACCCAACAATGAACAAATTAACAGAATTACTAACAAACTGTCAATTCCCCAAATTACTTCCTAATTGGTCTAGATTCTACTGGAATACTGTTCAAATAAACACAAGTCCCACTTAATAAATCCAAATAATAAGAGAACAATAAATTATAACTTAATCTCTCCAAATTCACACAGTCTGTCTTCTGAAATATTCTGTCTCCTCAACTCTCTTCGCAAATGCTATTCCTGCTAATTCTGCTGTCAGGGATGTTTTATCTCTATAATTTCTTCAATGAGGACTTTCAACTAAAATACCGTGGTACCTTTGATTAATTAATTTCTCTGAGAGCTGAATGGTGCTAAGTCTGGCAGGTGGTGGATGGCTCTCTCTTTCAGATGGCAGTTGGCTCTCCCCAATTTTCCAAATTCCCTCGACTTATATACCCGTAATGACATAATCAAATTCTTATAGTAGGTTTGGTTTCAGTTGTCAACACCATCAGATTTAAATTCAATTAACTTACAATTCAATTAACTTATCTAGGTGCTTCGTTTAAATTAATTGGCCAAATTCAAACTTGTTGTCTTGGAAAAATTGTTTCTTGGCGGTTCCATACAAAATGTTTCCATTCAAGCACTCTCTGCATTTATAAACTTCCAAGCACAAGCTCTTAGAGGGACCACGGTGCTTTTCTCCCCACAATCATATTTACCAACAAATTCTAACTTCCTGCCTTTCAATTCATGAATACTCTACCAAACATTGTAACACTACTTTCTGAACATCAACACCATCACTAGCAGCCAACACAAATCACAATATTAGATAAACCAGTGCCAACATTATGCTTGTTTGAAAACACAAGCTTTCGGAGCCTCGCTCCTTCTTCAGGTGTTAGTGACAGAGGTGGTATCAGACACAGAATTTATAAGTAAAAGATCAAAGGCTCACACCACTGATGAAGATGTATTAAACAAACCTAAGATGCTGTTAAATCTTTAATCACCTCTCTCTCACTCTCTTCCCCCATTCCCCCATCCACACACACACAAACACACATCACTCTCTCTCTCCCCCCTCAATGCACATACACACATGCACTCACTCGGTCTCTCTCTACACCCCCCAAACACATACGCAGTCACACTCCACTGTCTCTCTCCACACCCCCAACGCACACACATGCACTCACTCAAGTTCTCTTCCCACCCCCTGCAAACACACATGGACTCACACTCTCTCTACCCCAACACACGTGCACGCATACACTCTCTCTCTCCTCCCCACCCCACACACACGAGACACACACATACACACACACACACAGTCCACTCTCTCTCTCACATACACATACACACATACACTCCACTCTTTCTCTCTCCCCCAACATACACACACACTCCACATTCTCTCTCTCCCCTAACACACACACGCACACACACATATCTATGGGGTGAATTTGTATTTCCAGATACATTCTATTTTGTTCAAAAAGAACATAATTTATAGACAGTCAGTCAATGTGGCATTTTATAAATTCCTACTTTAGAAATAAAACCAGTCTGACCCCAAACCAAAACACAAACAGTTTCTAAACAAGGCCTCACACCTAACATGCATTGTCTGGCCTAAAATGTCACCTCTTTTTTACACTGATAAAACCTTTAGTTCTCTCAGGGCAATGACTTGAAAGAAATTCGGGGATTTGCATGTACATATTCATCAATTAAAACCTTCTAACTGATTAAAGATTTAACAGCGTCTTAGGTTTGTTTAAAACATCCTCATCAGTGGTGTGACCCTTTGATCTTTTACTTATAAATTCCGTGTCTGATACTACCTCTCTCACTAACACCTGAAGGAGGAGTAAGCCTCTGAAAGCTTGAGTTTTTAAATAAACCTGTTGGACTATAACATGGTGTTGCGTGATTTCTAACCTTGTCCACCCCAGTCTACCAATGGCACCCCCACGTCATCAACATTAGGCTTCTCACGCACCATGAGAAGAGAATCCTGTTCTTCACAGGTGAAACCAGGACCACTCCTGTGAGGTTGCTGAGAGAACCATGCCCCGTCAACTGAGTAAGTATCACTCTCACAGTAGCCCTGCTGTCAGTGTCATTCATTGCACTTATCCTCTAAACAATGACCACCTTGCCTTCTCTGTCTTGCGTTGAAGGTACCAGCAGGATGTCCATGGTCCCAGGCTGAAAAAGGCTGCTCCACCAGAAGCTACCTTCACAACCTCTGAGGCTGAGTGTATGGAGGCACCAGCAAGCATGCCTCCTGCACCCCAACCCAGCTGAGATACTAACCCCTCATGCAAACATCAGGTTTAGAAAGAATGTGGGAGTGCAATTTGGTGAAACATCTCACTGTGATATCGCCGCACAGGCTAAGGAAGAAATGCTCCAGATACTTAGAGAAGTGTCGGAGACTAGACTGCACAATCACAGATGGGAGAGAGCCCCGTGGTCTCGACAATCACAGACTTCACCCACATTCACAGGGAAGAATAGGAGTGGCAGACGCATTGTACATGGGTCATAATGACCCTCTTAGGCCAGAGGCTACAGGAGCTACAACTACACTGGGAACCCAGCTATCTCAAGCATTTGATCATCTGGTTATTTCCGTAAGACCATAAGAATTGGAAACAGGTTTAAGCCATTCAGTCCCTCAAGCCTGCTCCACCATTCAATAGAATCATAGCTGATCTCATCTCAGCCTAAACTCCATTTTCCTGCCTTTTCTTCGTAATCCTTGAGTCCCCGACTGATCAAGAATCTATCTATCTCAACTTTAAATATACACAAGGACTCTGCCCCCACAGCTCTCTTGTGGAAAGGAGTTCAAATGACTCTCAACCCTGTGAGAGAAGAAGTTCCTCCTTATCTCAATCTTAAGTTGGTGCCTATTTATTCTGAGACTATAATGTCTGGTCCTAGACTCTCCGATGAGGGGAAACATCCTCTTAAAATTTACACTGTTAAGCCCCTTAAAAATCCGATATGTTTCAATAAGATCACCTCTCCTTCTTTCCTTGAGTAGAGTCCCAACCTGTTTAGTCTTTGCTCATAAGACAATCCCTCCAAAATAGAGACCATCCTAGTGAACTTCCTCCAATGAAATAATATGCTTCTTTAAGTAAAAGGACCAAAACTGCACACAGTACTCCAGATGTGGTCCCACCAGCGCCTTCTACAGTTGCGGTAAGACTTCCAATCCCCTTGAAATGCGGGCCAACATTCCATTTGCCTTCCTGATTACCTGACCTAATAGGACAGCCGCAGACAGGATGTGTCCATGATCCTGACTGATGGCTGTTCACTTCCCTGACTGTATTAGCCCTACTGCCCAGACTGGGCACTATGGAGCCACAAGACTGACTGCAACCAGTTCATGGGCAGCAGAGATACAGACCACCTGATTGAGAACTCCCCAGCTGGATGCCTGATCGTGTTTACTGCATCAGTGCTAGCACATGGTGCGGGTGTGAGATTGATGTTATATAGTGTCATACAGCAGGGGTGTATGCCCCTTGATGAAAGATTGCTGACCTGCAAGGCAAGACTACGTTTGTGTGACTGCGCTAATAAGGACAGCAAGGCAAGACATGAATGCCGTGAGCTTGCAGGTTGGCTCTAATTGAGTGACTGCTAAGAGAGCAAGTGAGCAGGCTGGAGATGCACCTTGATCAAATCTGTGAGCTGGATTGGATGTGTGTCCCCTGCACACAAAATGCTCTTGCAGCAACCTTTCAACACTAGTTGCTGGTGCACCTTGCAATACAGGTCTGTGTTTCCTAATATGCTGCAGGTTGGTCAGTGAGGTGCCATGAGGATCCTGAGAAGTTGGCAAATATTGGATGCCAATATGTATGGATGAGGTGTACTGGTGGGTGGTGTCCATGCATCATGTCCTGAGATGCTGTTGTGTGATGAGCAACGTGGAGGCTTTTCACAGCAGCAGCGAGCTGAAGTTGCCAGCTACCTGTTCTGAATTTCATGTCAAGAATTTTTGATGTCTAGTTTGTTTATAGTGGGTGGCAGAATTGGAAACTGCATGTTAATGAGGTGGGATCTGCAGTTAATAAGATGGTTAAAATGGCAATATAGATGCTGTGGACCATAGGGCCTCTTCTGTACTGTATGATTTTATGATTCTCAGCCATAATCCCTCTTAATAGGCAACTCACCATTCCCTAGTGAGAATCATACTTCAAGGGGAGACAATGGCCTAGTGGTATGATCGTTGGACTGTTAATCCAAAGACCCAGATGATTTTCTGAGGACCTGGGTTCAAATCCCGCCACGGCAGATGGTGGAATTTGAATTCAATAAAATATCTGGAATTAGGAATTTAATAATGACCATGAATCCATTGTTGATTGTTGGAAAAACCCATCTGGTTCATTAATGTCCTTTCAGGAGGGAGAGTGCCATCATTACCTGGTCTGGACTACATGTGACTCCAGACCCACAACAATGTAGTTCACTCTGAACTGCCCTCTGGGCAATTAGGGATGGGCAATAAATACTGTCCAGTCAGCACCACCCTCATCTCCTTAATAAATATTAAAAAAAACACCTGGAATTTAGCTAAAAGATGCAGCAAATTGGTCCTAATGTCAAGCTAGGTATTGCAGGACCTCTCTCATAACCTAGCTACATTTTTTTCCATAGCCCATGTGTCATAAGATTCCACCTTTGATCCCTAAATGCCACACCAATTTAATTTGTTTCACAATTACTACAACACAACTAAATGTTTATTCCGCAATGGAATGTTTTGTGATCAGACAGAAACAAAACAAATTGATGATACATATCTTTAAAATTCAGAACAATCTGGGGTTTGTTGATGTGAGTGATGGAGGGAGTCCATATCTATTGACAATGTGTTTTTGTGCATGAAAGGATACTCTTCATTGATCAGAAATGGTGTAGATTTCTAATTGTTAATAGCAGCCACAAAGGGAACAATCTTTTTAAGTAAATAATTAAATAGTGACATTTCTGATTTTTTTAATGTATATTTCAGAATAATCCACAGGTTTGTCCTTATGGTTTATATGCTGAACAGCTCTCTGGTTCAGCCTTCACCTGTCCAAGATACAACAATAAGAGGAGGTAACATTGATTTTATGGTACAGTTAAGAATATTACATACTCATCATATGGTGACATTAATTTTCTCATTTAATCAACATAAAACTGTTATAAATAGCTGTTTGGTAGAACAGAATTTACGTTTTATTGAAAAAGACACAGTTTGTAGAAAATTTTCATCATGCACCCATCAAGTCAATTCACAAGAACTGAGAATTTAAGGGGAAAACATCATTAATAACATATGAGAGAAGGGTACTGGTTATTCAGCCAGTAGACACCGATTGGTAAATGTATTGACAATGTGAATGCATTAACAATGATTGACAGTTAACTTCTAGGCTTGTTTAAATTTTAAACTAGGCAGGTTGCCTCTGATTGATCAATGCCCTTTTCTGATTAATGAAACAGCGTAAGATTGACATCTATTTTGTTGAAACATGTATTGTATCTGTTTCAGCTCAAAAAACTACACAACTGTCATTCAATTCTTTGTTTTGTCACTTGTCATTAATTGGTGCATTTTTCATGTGAATACCTCTATCAGGCAGAGTCCACTAGCCAACCAATGAGCATTCTCCTGTCATACAGTATTAATGTTGTTTTTTCCCTTTAAATTGATATTCTTGTGAATTGCCCTGATGAGTGGTAGGCAAAAAAAATTAACAAAATGTGTTTTTTTTCAGAAGATCTAATATAATCTTACAAATGTTCTAATAGACAGATTCTAAACTTCCAATTATTCAAATTGTTAAAAAAAACTCCACTAATCATGCAATATCAGCACCTCAATTTAGTGAAGCTTCCAAAGCAAGTACTACATCCTCACAAGAGGCCTTGAAGAAGTAAAAGAAATCATTATGTATTTCTGATACATGGTAATTACAAAATTGTATTTGTGCTTTGTTGGATTAATAATATTACCTCACTGCTGAGATGATGAGTGGGAGTTTGGTCGTATGTTCAGAGACAGAACCAAAAATAAGGCAGCAAGGTAACTTAATGCTTAATCAATTTAATATTTAATTTAGCGAACATGATGAAATTAATCCCAAGGAAATTAATCATGAAAAGGAACAAAATAGAGTTTTGGTAAATAGCTTATGGTTGGAATAAAGTAATGCTTGTATTAATCTAACAGTTTTTTTCAACATTTTTAAAAATAGAAAAACATTAGGGTGATGACTCTTAGGAGATCATGACTGTTCTCTGCATTAATGGCTAATAACCCCACTGGAAAACCTCTTAATCTCAGAGAAGAGACTCAAATTTATTTCATAACCACCACTTCCAATGGGTGAAAAGAATACTATCCAGTTTAACAACACAAGATCTATGTTAATCTATAATGGTACTTCAACAGTAACTCACAAAACACATGGGAGCTTTCAACCTGGGTATGTATCAGTTCTGGTGAGTTTAACAGGAAATGTGTGTTTGTTAGGGGGAGCCAATTTATATTCTCCTGCTTCTTGACTAGCGAGCCTTTTGATCATTTGAAGTCAGTTATCGGGAGTCATGATGACCGCATTGACCTCTGTCCAGCTTGCAATTATGCTTTAAGTGCAGGCAAGACTTCAACTGCAAATATGGCTTTATTCCTTCGGTATACCCATTGTGGGAGATTTCCAATTTTTGCCTTGAACTGAATTACTATTGCTCACGATTTACAAACAGTTAAATTATTTTTCTTCCTCCAGTAACAGTGGCTCTATAGTGAAATATATGGCCCTTTTAAACACCGCTCTTCATTGGTGCTTAGACTCTTCCATATATTGCAGAACAAATTAAATTTTCTTGACTTACTTATATGTCCCAGTCATTTAGTCAAATTAACTAGAGACATTGGAAATTTGGCTTACCTACCATTTGGGTGAACCTACCTATAGGTCAAATTAATTTAATTTTGATCATGTTTTGCAATTTGGGACCTAAATCATCTACACATTGATTCAATTTTAATTAGTTTCTTTCTATTCTTTTCCATGCAGCTGGCTTTATCGTATTGTACCTTCAGTCCTTCACAAGCCCTTCACTTCCATACCCCAGGGAAATTTGTCCTATAATTGGGATGAAATCAACCCTGATCCCAACCAGGTAACACTATTTCTTCATGAAGTTAAAATAATCCACTCATAAGAATATTGGGCCACATTTTTAAAAGATTTCAGCCTTTCTATAAAAGGCATAATCTATCTTATAAATCAAACAGTCTCACGTGTTGCACATCATAGCTAAATATTGGCAAAGACGTATATTCAATATTTTCAACGTGATACCAGATTTGTTTGTATTGATGACCCAGCTAGGAGCTAAACATTTCATGTTGTTAATATGAATGAAGGGAGACAAATTGGCTGAGGAGAGACCAATTGGTTTGCACAAGTTAATAATACGTTAGTGCAATGACATTTAGGTTAATGCCACCAAAACCAATTAGTTTTTCTATTTGTTATGTTTAATATGAGAATGGGGAACTGATTTGTTAAATAGAAGCTCCTGATATTTACTAAACCCAAGAAATTTCTGGTCCTTTTAATCAGCTGTTGAGTTAGAAGGTTTTATTTGACACTAAAAAACACACTTTTGATTCCTTTGATCTTTGCAGAACTTCAAAGTGTTCCAAGGAATGTTTGAAAAAGTGGCATATCACCTGTAGTGTACATCCTCAGCTTTGAAATAAAACCTGTCTCATACAATTTCTTTTATCTTGCTTCTAGCTCAGATGGCTACCATTTAAAATTCATAAAACATCAGAGAAGATGGTTGACTTTGTATCAGTAAGACTGATTTTATTTTGCTTTTGACTGTCTCTCTGCCTGCAAATATACATAATGTCATGTCAATAAAATTTAGAGTTGAGGGGAGTATCTTTAATAGGTTGGAAACTGGAACACACTGGACTGACAACATGGACTGGGAATGGAACAAATGCTACTCAGGTTGCTGAGTTCTGGTTGGGATTGGGTTTGGGCTTCATTTGAATCATACCAGTGAGCTGCAGGTGCCTGCTGTGTGACTTCAGGCAGATTTCAGCAAGGTTAGAACAGCAGCTGTCAAAAAGGCCCTCAATTATAGACCAGAGAGATATAAGGTTTTAATATTATGTAAATAGAATCCTGCAAATTATTACCCACTCATGTTCTCCATCTCTCTCAATTTATTAAGAACAATGCACTTTAATTAAAGAATATATGTGATGATGGTTATTATTTATATTCTTAGGAGCAAGTTATCTCAGCATGAACAAATTCCTCCGTAATGATTTTATCATTCAGTCAGTTATGAGCTTGTCCTTATGCCCAGGAATAAACTGTCCATTCCAGTGTACCATCTATTTCCTTTGGGCAGCACAGCTATTGAATGGTACTCTTTTTCAACAGGGTTTACATACATTATGTGGAGCTGGAGATATCAGGTCTAGAAATGGGTTGGCTATTCACATCTATGCCTGCAACTCATCAATGGAGAATAAGTATGTTACTACCTTTAAGAACATTTTCTGTCATATACTTTTTTTCTGCCTTTTTCGGTGATATTAAAGGAGATAAGACCTTGTTTTTGTTATTTCTCACTCTAACTGTTGTTTGCTACCATGCCATCTTTGTGGCATTGAATATTGAGGCCTAGGTCATGGTTTTGACTAAGGGTTTCACACAAAAATACCAGGCAAAAAATCATTTGTTTCATTGGCCTGACAGTAAATACAATTCTTTTGTCCCAACCTCATTTTAAGCTATCAAAGATTTGTAATTCGATGTAATTTCCTACTTAAAATAATCAGATTCTCAGATAATCTAATGTTTATGTTTTGCATTTCAGGTCATTTTATAATTCAGATGGGGATTTCCTTCTAGGTAGGTAAGACCCCTCCCCCACCCTTTGAAAAGTCAGTTCATACACTTTACCAACTTATCATAACTTGAAAGAAATGATTTTGCCATGGATTCCAATGACACCTCCTTCGAAACTTAACATTAAAACATCTGCATAGAAAATAGTATCAGTCATGCATTCCATGAATTTGAGCCTTCTATTTGCGGGACCATAGAACAACATTAATGTTAGAAAGCAGCATTGCTGTGACTGCGGGAAATGAATTTAAGTGGCAGCGTTCCAGTTGATGAGTAGCAGAATATGAATCTAAGAAATAAATCAAACAAGGCATGCATGTTTCATTTCGTTGAGGACCAAATAACTGACTTCAGTCTCCAACATCCCTAGATTCACTGTGGAAATCGCTTAGCTCTGCCTCCTTCACCATTAACACTTGGATTCATATTTAGCCAACAAGGGAAAGGAAGTTTCTCAGCAACAATCAAAGCTGGTGCGATCTTTAAGAGAATTGTTCCATCAGTTTTGAAGTCAAACCTTATATCTAATCTGACAAATTGATGAAAAACTCTGCAAAGTCATATAAAGAGAATGAGAATACTTTTATCAAGGTAAATTGAACAAGGAAGTATAAAGAGATGATAATAAAGTGGCCATGGTTACAAAACAGAGACAGACAGCCAAACCAGCTTCCATATCCCTGTATTCACAACACAGTAAAATTAAAGCTTCAATGTCCATCACCAAGAGAGACTCAGCAGAACCATTACAGGTCAAGCTGGCTGAGCTGATGTAAAGGACATAGCTGCCAAATTGGGTCTGTGGTTAGTGGTGAGAGAACCAATGAGAGGAAAACACATGTTTGATCTCAACCTCACCCATCTGCCTGCCACAGATGCATCCATCCTCCATTCATGAACACATTGGTAAGAGTGATTAAAGCATAGTCCTTGTGGAGACAAGGTCCTGTCTTCACATTGAGAAAACCCTCCAATGTGTTGCAGCACAATCAGGGTGCTAAATGGGATAAACTCTGAACAGATCTAGCAAATCAGGACTGGATATCTTAGGTGCTGTGAGGCATCGCCAGCAGCAGAATCATACTCCAGGACAATTTGCAACCTCGTGGCCCAGCTTTACACTTTGGTAGAAAGAATTATGGAGCTAAATATTACTTAAATGGAGAAAGATTACAGAGGGTTACGGAGCAGATGGATTTGGGAGTCCTTGTCCATGAAATCACAAAATAGCTAGCATCCAAGTTCAGCAGATAGTAGGGAAGACAAATGGAATCTTGGCCTTAATTACAAAGGCCAAATAAACACAATGGTAACAAGAGCAAAATCAGAGGCTAGGAATACTGCAGCAAGTAACTCACCTCCTGACTATTCAAAGTTTGTCCACCATCTAGAAGGCACAAGTCAGGAGTGTGATGGAATACTCCGAGGTTGCCTGGATGGGCAGCTCCAACAACAACAAACTTGACATCAACTAGGACAAAGCAGCCCTCTTGATTGACACCACGTTCATAAACATCTACTTCGTCTACCACCAACACTGAGTACCAGCAATGTGTATTATCTATAAGATGCACTGCAGAAATTTACCATGGCTCCTCAGTCAGCACCTTCGAACCCCACATACACTACCATCTAAAAGGACAAGAGCAGAAAATAGAAGGGACTATCACCACCTGCAAGTTCCCTGCAAGCCATTCACCATTCAGACTTGGAAAAATATCCATGTTCTTTCAATGATAACAAGGTGCAGGGCTGGATGAACACAGCAGGCCAAGCAGCATCAGAGGAGCAGAAAAGCTGACGTTTCGGGTCCAGACCCTTCTTCAGAAATGGGGGAGGGGACAGGGATTCTGAAATAAATAGGGAGAGAGTGGGAGGCGGATAGAAGATGGATAGAGGAGAGGATAGGTGGAGAGGAAACAAACAGGTCAAAGAAGCGGGGATGGAGCCAGCAAAGGTGAGTGTAGGTGGGGAGTTAGGGAGGGGATAGGTCAGTCCAGGGAGGACAGACAGGTCAAGGGGGTGGGATGAGGTTAGTAGGTAGGAGATGTGGGTGCGGCTTGAGGTGGGAGGAGTGGATAGGTGGGAAGAAGGACAGATTAGGGAGGCGGGGACGAGCTGGGCTGGTTTTGGGATGCAGTCGGGGGAGGGGAGATTTTGAAGCTTGTGAAGTCCACTGACACCCTCATCTGCTTAGCTGAACTCATCCTCACCCTTAACAACTTCTCCTTCAATTCCTCCCACTTCCTACAGACAAAGGGCGTGGCCATGGGTACCCGCATGGGCCCAAGCTATGCCTGCCTCTTTGTAGGATACATGGAACAATCCCTCTTCCGAAACTACACTGGCCCTATCCCCCACCTCTTCCTCCGTTACATCGATGAATGTATCGGCGCCACCTCGTGCTCCCACGAGGAGCTCAAACAGTTCATCCACTTCACTAACACCTTCCACCCCAACCTTAAGTTCACCTGGACCATCTCCGATACCTCTCTCTCCTTCCTGGACTTCTCTGTTTCCATCTCTGGCAACCACCTGGAAACCGATATCCATTTCAAGCCTACTGACTCCCACAGCTACATAGAATACACCTCCTCTCACCCACCTTCCTGCAAAAATGCCATCCCCTATTCCCAATTCCTTCGTCTCTGCCGCATCTGCTCCTGAGATGAAGCATTCCACTCCCGGACACCCCAGATGTCCTTGTTTTTCAAGGACCGCAACTTCCCCTCCACAGTGGTCGAAAATGGCCGCGATCGTGTCTCTCACATTTCCTGCAACTCATCCCTCACACCCCCTCCCCGCAATAACAATCAAAACAGAATCCCCCTCATCCTCACGTACCACTCCACCAACCTCTGGATCCAACGCATCATCCTCCGGCACTTCCGCCATCTGCAATCTGACCCCACTACCAAAGACATTTTTCCCTCCTCACCCTTATCTGCTTTCCGGAGGGACTGCTCTCTCCATGACTCCCTTGTCCGCTCCACACTCCCCACTAGCCCTACCACACCCGGCACTTTTCCCTGCAACCGAAGCAAGTGCTACACCTCCCCCCTCACCCCCATCCCAGACCCCAAGAAGACTTTCCACATCAAACAGATGTTCACCTGCACATCTGCTAATGTGGTATGCTGTATCCGCTGTTCCCGATGTGGCCGCCTCTACATCGGGGAAACCAAGCGGAGGCTTGGGGACCACTTTGTGGAACACCTATGCTCAGTTCGCGACAAAAGACTGCACCTCCCAGTTGCAAACCATTTCAACTCTCCCTCCCACTCCTTGGACGACATGTCCATCCTGGGCCTCCTCCAGTGCCACAACGATGCCACCTGAAGGTTGCAGGAACAGCAACTCACATGGGAACCCTGCAGCCCAATGGTATCAATGTGGACATCACAAGCTTCAAAATCTCCCCTCCCCCGACCGTATCCCAAAACCAGCCCAACTCATCCCCGCCTCCCTAACCTGTCCTTCCTCTCACCTATCCCCTCCTCCCTCCTCAAGCCCCACCCCCATCACCTACCTACCAGCCTCATCCCGCCTCCCTGACCTGTGCATCCTCGCTGGACTGACCTATCCCCTCCCTAACTCCCCACCTACACTCACCTTTACTGGCTCCATCTCCGCCTCTCTGACCTGTCTGTCTCCTCTCCTCCTATCTTCTCCTTTATCCATCTTCTATCCGCCTCCCCCTCTCTCCCTATTTATTTCAGAATCCCCTTCCCCTCCCCCATTTCTGAAGAAGGGTCTAGGCCCAAAACGTCAGCCTTCCTGCTCCTCTGACGCTGCTTGGCCTGCTGTGTTCATCCAGCTCTACGCCTTGTTATCTCAGATTCTCCAGCATCAGCAGTCCCCACTATCTCTGACTGTTCTCTCAATGTTGCTGCATCAAAATCTTGGAACTGCCTCACAACAATATTGCAGATTTACCTGCAGCACATGGACAGCAGCAGGTTCAAGAAGCCTGATCACCACCACCTTCTCAAATGCAACTAGGGAAGAACAATAAATATTGACCAGCCAGAACTTCCAATGTTGTGTGAATAAGTAAAATGAAAAGTAAGCCAGTCAACCCCTTGAACTTTTTCCGCCATCCAGTAAGACCATGGTTGTTCTGGTTACTCCACGTTCCCACCTACTCCCAATAAATTTTCACCTCCTTGCTTATCAAGAATTTATATATGTCTGCCTAATAATATTCAAAGACTCTGCTTCCACTGCTTTAGAGGAAGTGAATTCTGAAGATTAATGATCCTTTGTGAGAAAAAAATTCTCCTTGTCACTCTTATTTTTAAGTAGTGGTCCTCAGTTCTAGATTCTCTTACAAGAGGAAGCATTCTTTCCATATGGACCCCGTCAAGATTTCAGGAGCTTGTAGGTCTCAGTCAAGTTGTCTCTTACCCTTCTAAACTCCAGTGGATACAGGCCTTGCCTGTCCAACTTCTCCTCATAAGACAATCTGCCCATTACAGGTATTAGACCAGAAAATACTCTCTGAACTGTTTCCCAGGTCCTAATGGACCCCATCCTAAGATCTTAGGATCATCCTTCTAAACTCAAGTGAATATGGGCTCAGTCAAACCAATTTCTCATCATAAGACATTTCTGCTATCCACAGTATTAGCCTAGTGAACCTCTGTTGCACTGCCTGCATGGCAAGTTCTACCATAGAACAATGTCACAGTAGATTTACCAGTACGTTTTATATTTCTCATTGATTTCTTTTGTCATCCCCAATATTTATTAAATGCCTTTTTGATCTCATGACAATTATTCCGTGGAACCCCAGTCTTGGTGCTTCCTTTTATTCCAAGTCAGATTCCATTTAACTGCTAATTTATCACACTAGCATGTAAGTAATTTTTACATCTAGTCTAATGTTTACTTCCTGCCTTTCCCCCCACATTAATCTTGTGCTAGTTTAATTTATCCCTTTATCCCTTTTCATCCCATAGAATGTAGCTAACATTCAGTCTATTTTTTTCTGTGATGACTCTACGCAATGATACAAGGGGGAAATGGTAGCATAGTTGAAATGTCACTGGACTAATAAGCCCAAAGCCTAACCTAATCCTCTGAGGTATATAAAGTTTGTCTTAGTAATGATGACCATGAAAACTACCGTTGAATGCTATAAAAAGTCATATGGTTCACTAAGGTCCTTTAAGGAGAGATAATCTGCTGTCTTTATATGGTCTGGGCAGCATGTGACTGCAAATCCACAGCAATGTCGTTGACTCTTTCCAGAAATGGCTTAACAAACCACTCCTCTGAAGGGATGGCAGCAGATGCTGACTTTGCTAGTTTTCCCTACATCCCATGAAAGAATAAAGAACAAAAATAATTTTTGTAATTATTTTCCACATGTAATCCTACCTCTCACCCATATTTAGTACCTGCCACTGAATATTAATCACCTGTGTGATAAGTGAAGGGAATGGTATGACAGGGAATGACAATTACAAGAAAATATGCAGGCTTTACCATTCCACCTTGCTGGTTTCAGTTTTCTCAATTTTTCATTTTCTGTGATTGCTGAATGACACACAGGAAAAGAAAATGGGAGTCTTTGAGGACAAAATAAAATAATACTGATTTTAAAATTAGGGATCATCCTTTAAAGACAGAGATGAGGAGAATTTTTATTCTCTGAGTGTTATGCAACTTTGAATGTCTCTGCCTTCAGAAGGCAGTGGAGACAGGGTCATCGAATATTTTTAAGATAGAGGTTGAAAGGTTCCATTTTGGCAGGGGTCTCAAGGACTGGGGCGGAATGGTGGCTCAGTGGTTAGCACTACTGCCTCACAGCGCCAGGGACCCCAGTTTAATACCAGCCTTGGGTGACTGTCTGTATGGAGTTTGCACATAGTCCCCATGTCTGCATGGGTTTCGTCCATACAGTCCAAAGACGTGCAGGTTAGGTGGATTAGCCATGCTAAATTGCCTGTTGTGTCCAGGGATGTTTAGGTTAGGTGGATTAGCCATAGTGGAAAAGGCGTTATAGGCTGGGGGAGGAGGGGGTGAATCTGGATGGGATGTTCTTTGGGGAGTCAGTGTGGACTTGTTGGGCCAAACGACCTGTTTCCATACTGTAGGGATTCTTTGACTATGGGGGTAGACGTGAACATAGAATTTAGAACAGAAACAAACCAGCCATAAGCTTATTGAGGGACTGATTGATGTCCATCTGCTCCTAATTCGTATGTTCATATTTCTCCAAAACTGACAATAGGAAGTATCTTGTAGGCTTTTGTCTTAAAGCCTGTTGATTTTAATTGGATACCTGTTTGATTGCAGTGCCCCAGGAAGGGAGTCTGTTGATTACAACGGAGTTTGGCAAAATGCTGGTTGAACCTAAAGAAATTTGTGTCATTCAGGTAAGAGAGACCAGAGGTTTGACATCCGAATGATTCTCAGCCTAGCTCCATGCTACTCCAACAACACCAGTATGAAATGTAAATGCCTTAATTGGCTAGAGCTCATTTCATGGTGCTGACAATCTCCAAGAGATAGGAACTGCCTGCAGGAGGTAACTAGCAAAGCCAGCCGTGATGGTGAGAGTAGGTGGTGCCTTGGAGGCCCGGCAGCATCAATGCTTATAAAAGTGAAAATGCAGGGCCAAGTAAGAGGTGCTGCAAACGCTCTAGTGCAAGATTCCCCAGGTCCCAATGCAATCACTGCACAGAAAATACTTCCACATTTCCCTGTTTCGAACCCAACAGCTACGCACATTCATGCATCAGATTGTATGAGTTTACTTTTGAAAATTGCATTCTTGTGCTCCCAGACCTGTTAACAACAGGAGCCTAAGGGGCCATTAAATGAAGGTGAGTGTGTTTCCCGCTCCCTACCTCCTGCCCTTTGTAAATCAGAGCACATCCTGAAATTCGTGGAATTCACAGATGCCCTCATTCCCAACCTAGTTGACAAATAAAAATCCACTCCCAATTGTTGTTATTCCACAGAAAGACACCATTCAGCTCATCAAGATCAAGTTGGCTCTCTGTAAAACAACCCAATCAGTTTCATTCCCCCTGCTATTCCCATAGCCCTGCAGGTTATTTCCCTCAAATACTTAGTTGCTATTTGAAATCATTGATTATCTCTCCTTCTGTTTTACAAGCACAAGTTTGAAGTCATCACCAGTGTCTGCATAAAAGACGTTCATCCTCATATGGTCTAGCATCTTTTGCCAAAAAATCTTAGATCTTTATCCTATCAAAATCTTGTTTATCACAATCAGAGCTCCCCTTCGTTCCAAGGAGAACAACTGTACCTTCACCAATCTACCTTATAGCTAAAATCCTCATCCTTGGAATTGTTCTCTGCACCTTACTGAAAACCTGCATATCCTTCCTACAATGTGCTGATACTAACTAGATCCAAAAATCTAGTTGTAGCTGAACCAGTATTTTATATAGGCTTACTTTTGTACTCCATGTTTTTATTCATCAATTCCATCTACCTTACTACCTACTCTCTCAGCATGTCCTATCACCTTATAGGTCTAGGTACATGAACCCCAGCTCCTTCTGTCTCTATGCACTCTTTAAAACTGTATTATTCTGTTTTTCCTCCTCTATCCTTCTGCGAAATGCATCACCTCATACTTCTTTCCACTTTGCCCATTTTTCAAGCCTATCAATGCCCTGTTGCAGTTGATTGGCATCATCTTCACTGATTGCCACACTTCCATTTTTGGTGCCATTGGCAATTTTTTAAATGTTCAATGTCCGTGTCATTTTTATATATCAAAAAATAATACATTATACCATTGAGCCTTCAGGAATAACACAGTCTATGCTCCTCCAGTCTGAGAAACAACCATTTAATTTTTAAAAGATTTGAATTGGCAACAAATTGCTGCATTTAAATCCAATGTAATTCAAAACCCCTAATAGAAGTAGCCTCCTTCACGATTGTAGTGCTTTTATCTGTAAAGTCATGGGGCTAGCTTTAGGTGTTACTCACACTACATAGATAAATCATGTTAGTAACATAAAAGTTAAAAAGTATATTTCACACACAATTCTAATTTTAAAACAATTACCTTAGTTGCACCCTTATGATTCAAGAGGCATGTGATGACAAGCTCCTTTTGCAACCTTTTCTGTTTTCACAAAGATTATTCATGATTTTTTAAAATTAGAAATGTTTATCTGCATGACGTACATATTAAGAGTTTATACGAACAATAACTAATGACATCTAGAAAAGATAATGACACATTTCTGATTTTTTTTTCTTTCAGCAAGGGATGCATTTCAGCATTCAGGTCTTTGAAGAGACACGAGGTTACATCTTGGAGATCTTTGCAGGCCATTTTGAGTTGCCTGATCTTGGACCAATTGGTGAAGATTTTTCACTGCAATATATTTAGTTCTAGGCTTTAACAAAACCCATTCTCAGTGACATGTGACACTTGTACGTGAGTCTGGAGAGGATTCCTTTAAACAAATCAACAAACATACCAGGGTTGTAGTTGGATCTTGGAAAAGTTAAAAATACTCATCAAGTTAGGCTCACCTGATATTCCATTAATCTTAAATGTTAAGCAAAAACAGAAAATGCTAGAGAAACTAAATAGGTCTGGCAACATTTGTGTAGAGAAGACAGAGTTAATGTTTCAAGTCTGATGACCCTTCTTCAGAATGGGTCTGAAATGTTAACATTGTTTCTCTCCACAGAGGCTGACAGATCTGCTGAGTATTTCCAGCATTTCTGTTTTTATTTCAAATTTCCAGCATTCACAGTATTTCACATATGTTTAGATGGAATTCATTGGTTTCGTTACTGATTTTAGAAATCATTAAAATTGATATTTACAGATTTCCAGTGGCCTATTCCTGGACATTTCTGTGTTAGTGGATCAGTTAAAATCAGTTTCTGACTGTTACTTATCTCCCAGGAGCCAGATTTTTCTCAGTCCTTAATAAAAACTGAAAGAACTGTGGATGCTGGAAATCAAAAACAAAAACAGAAATTGCTGGAAAAGCTCAGCGCATCTGGCAGCATCTGTGGAGAGAAATCAGAGTTAACGTTTTGGATCCAATGGACCACATCTCTCCACAGATGCTGCTAGACCTGCTGAGCTTTTCCAGCAATTTCTGTTTTCTCTGTCCATAATGAATCTCAAGACAAACAAATCCTGTGCTAATAATATCATCAACATTACAAAAAAATATTGAATTTAAGCTACTTTTAATTGCATCCTCCGCCAACTTTAGTGGGATGTCACATCTTTTTCTGATGAGTTGAGGAAATAGAAATTGTCTTTAAAGTACAAGTAAATTATTACATCATGTCAGATAACTTTTTCTTCTACATTCTCAAAGATCCATGATATTAATCCTATAAACTCATTTGATTTGCTTTACTAGGAGCCAATGGTCTTGCCAATCCCAGGGATTTTAAGGTTCCAGTTGCATGGTATGAGAACCGAAAGATTCCAACTGGATTCACTGTCATCAGCAAGTTTCAGGGCAAGTTATTTGCTGCCCAGCAGGTGAATGGGCATTTTATTCTTAGTGTTAAATACTGGGCATGTAATAAGGATACACAGAAACAGATCAAACTAAATTTTAAGCACAAACTAAAGTTACTGAAATAGTCTACTAATAAGTTACTTGGAAATTGTACTTCCAGTGTAACGTTGAATCATATGGAGCAGGAAAAGTCAATGTTTACACAGTTGTCTGCAGTGTAACATGTGGATGTGGTTAATTTGACTTTCATAATGCTTTTGATAAGGTGACACGCACGAGAGGTTAGTAAACGAAACTCAAGCACATAGGATATGGGTTAATATATTGGCATAGATTGAGGATTGCTTCAAGGGCAGAAAGAGTAGAAATAGGTTCACTCTCAGGTTTCCAGACTACAACCTTTGGAGTATCACAACATTTAGTGCTTTGACCCAAGATATTCACAATTTATATCATTGATTTAGATATGGGGAACAAATGTAATATTTCCAGTTCTGCTGATGACACAAACTGAGTGGTAAAGTGAATTGTGAGGATGATATAGAGTGGCTTTGGGGGATTTGAATGGTCAAGAATATGACAGATGTAAAACACAAATGCAGTGCATTCCTTAAATGGGGAGAGATTGGGAAGCGTTGATATCTAAAGGGACCTGGGTGTCCTTGTTCACAATGAACTGAAAGAAAACATGCAGGTGTATTAAGTAATTAGGAAGGTAAAAAGTATGTTAGCCTTTACTCCAAAAAGATTTGAGTACAGGAGTAAAAATTCCTTGTTGCAATTGTATCACAAGTAGGTGAGAGTGCACTTGGGGTGTTGTGTACATTTTTGATTTCCTATGTATCTCGTGGGAGTACAACAAATATTCACCAGACTGATTCCTGGGATGGTGGGATTGTATTATGAGGAAAAATTGAGCCTAATTCTTGATTAGTAAGGGGATCAAGGGTTACAGGGAGAAGGATTGAGAAACATATCAGCCATCGTCGAATGTGGAGCAGACTCAATGGGCCGAATGGCCTAATTCTGCTCTATTATCTTATAGTATTCTCTAAAGATAAGAAGAATGAGACATGATCTTATGCGACATCCAACATTCTTAAAGGGCTCAGCAGTGTAAGTGCAAAAAAGGTTATTTTCCCTAAAAGTGGGGGGTGGTTTATCACAAGGGAGCACTGTTTTAGGATAAGGGACATGCCATTTAGGACTGAGATGAGTCGAAACCTCTTCACTCAGAGGATGGTGGATCTTTGGGTTTCTGTACCCCAGAGGGCTGTGGATGTTCAGTCACTGTATATACTCAAGACAGAGACTGATAAATATCTAGATGTTAAAGACATCAAAGGAAATAGGGATAGTGTGTAAAAAAGGCCCTGAGGTGGAAGGCCTGTCATTGGGCTGGCATTTATGTGTGCCCATTGGCTGCTTTTATGACAGGGGTAGGCATGTAAAATTGGTCATTTGGCTCACCCATCCCAAAGCTCCCCTTGTAATGTGGGAAACCATCAACATCATATTTTCCTCAGTTTGTTACTAAGACCAACTTAAAATCAATTGTCAAAATCACAGGGAGAAATTTTTCTAGGCATTGGCAATAACATTAGGAAAATCATGTGAGAGGCCATTAAGGAGCTTCTTGATCCAAGAGCAAATAGTCTCATTTCCTAACAAAGTGGTGGTGAGATCAGCTTCTCACTAGTATGTGACCATAGGCCTAGTTTCATGCCCTGACATGTATTGACATCCTCATTATTACACAATCTTACCTCATTGATACGTAGTTCCCATTCTCCCAAATGCCAGATGGTGGCAATTTCCAATATGTAAGTCAGAACGGTAACGTGGTGACTCCAACTCGCTACCTGCCCCTGGGGACCTTCCATTAGTCACCAGCATCTAAGGGTGTGCCCCATTGGGCAGAGGCCGCTCACACACCCTGGGCAGCAGGACCTCCAGGTGCCAATCTATCCAACATGTCTGGGGCAAATAAAACAAACAATTCAGGGCAGCTGCACACTGCCAGCTCTTGAATGGATGCAGAGCAGTACTTTAAAGATGGCACCAGTGCTAGGAAACCTGGAAGCTCCCAGTACTGGTTGGTACTGCCAATTGTGAGGGAGAATAGAGTGCCATTGTCACACAGTTCATACGTGTGGAGGTGAGTTTGGGAAGGTAGCATGACAAAAACTCGCCAGATCTCACAGTGAAAAAAAAACCTCCATGAAGCTCACCAAAAATTATACTTCATCGATTTCTGATAAGATTCAACCCACAGGTTCTGTCTTCAGCAATTCCTGCAGATGATTGTCACTTACTCCATAACAGACTGCAGGTTTCTGAAACCTACTTACATGCCTGCACAAATGATGGAGAAGCATGTTTGCAATGATTCTGTCGTAATGCGGTGTAAAGTATGTCAGCATCCTTCTATCTACAAGAGATTATAGACACATGTGCTAAAGATTATCAAAAGACCTCACCTGCTTGCCATATACATTCTTTGATTCATCAACCTCGCAAAAGTCTATTAGCCTGGTTCTAAGTATTTAATTTGATTCGGCAACCACTACCTGGTAGTGAGTACAAGATTTTCACTGGGCTTTGATTTACTCCTAACTAAAACCAGGTAGCATAATTTTAAGGTGAGAGGAGAAAGATTTAAAAGGGACCTGAGAGGGAACTTTTTCACACAGAGGGTGCAGGTACAGTTACAACATTTAACAGACATTTGAACAGGTAAATGAATAGGAAAGGTTTAGAGGGACATGGATCAAATGAAGGCAAACAAGATCGAATTGCTGTATGACTCTATGACTCTAAATGCTTAACTCTAAGATTACTCCAATAAAAACAAAATACTGTGGATGCTAGGAATCTGAAATAAAACACTAAATACTGAAGACACTTAACAGATCTAGTTCTGTTTCTATTTCTGCAGATACTAACAGTTCAAGTTTGATATGCCTCTTCTTCACAACTGAAAGGGAAATCTCTGTTTTTCATGCTGTGGACAGAGGGGGAGGAGGAGCAAGAGGAACAGATTGTAAGAATGCTTAGAGCCAAAGGCAAAGGGGTTGTTAATGGAAGTGAAGGAGAGATAGAGATGTAAAAAGTGCATAAATTAAGGTCTGAAAAGGAGTAAATAGGCCCACTCTGCTGAGAGGAAAGTTAACAAATTACAAATTAGACTCGGCTGTGTGCGTGTGTATTCTATAGGAAGGAATTGGTGGGGGATGGTGTTGGAGGGTGTCAGAAAAATAGAAGATGACCAATAGAGGTGATGCTCTAACTTTGTGGAATTCAATATTGAGTCCTAGAGGTTGTGAGGTGCTGAAGCAGAAAATGAGGTGCTGTTTCTTTAGCTTGCTTTGTGCTTTGCTGGAACATTTTGTAGCAGGCCCAGGATAGAAATGTCTACATGGGAACTGCTCACAGTGTAGTGTCCTTTACAACTGGCAAGACCAAATGCAGACAGGTGACTGCTTTGTGCAATACCTCTGCTCTGTCTGTAGGAATGACACAATTTTCCAGTTGTTTGCCATTTCAATAAATGTACTCTCATGATAACATTTCCAAAAAGTTAACTTTTATTTCTCTCTCCACAGATAATGCCAGACCTTCTGAGCTTCTCCAGTGCTTTCTCTTTTTATTATCCAAGATTGCTGCCCCTTGTTCTGGGTTCCACACCAGAGAAAATCATTTTTCGATACCTACCCTATCTAATCTCTTTTACGGTTTAAAACAATTCAAATAGATTACCTATTACCTTCTAAATTCAAAGGACTTTGAGTAAAGTGGTTGCCTCTTCTCATAATACAATTCACTCTAGTATCATTCTGGAGAATTACTGCTATACCACTCCAAAGATAACATATGTTTTCTGAAATTTAATGGCCAAAGTTGAATGCAGTCACCGAGCTGGGACCTGACCAAGGTTCTGTACAATTGAAGCATCACTTTCTCACTTTTGTTTTCTCAGTCACTTGAAGTAATGGCAAATGTACTTTGATTATTCTGAATTACTACATAATGAAAGGGCAATAGATCCTCAAATCAAATTGCTCAGAATCTCAAACGTCATTCTTCAATTTCTAATTTTGAAGCAGATTAAGAAATTCAATATATTCCTTTCAGGACTTCTCTCCATTTAATGTTGTGGCCTGGCATGGAAACTATACACCTTACAAATACAACCTGCAGGACTTCATGGTCATTAATTCTGTTTCATTTGATCATGCAGTAAGTAATTTTCTTCATGTATTTTTATTGGCACATAAAACACAGGTAATATATCAATTGCTCTATAGTCTTACCAATGCCTAGTATAACTAAAACAAAACATTTCAATTTATGTTCAATTCCCCTCATAATAAAAGATAGCATGCGATTAGCCTCCTTGATTACTGTAGCTGCTGTAGCTGTATACCAAGCTTTTGTGACTCATACACCAGCACACCTAAATCCCACTCCACCTCGGAATTCTGCAGTTGTTCTCCATTTAAGTGATACACTGACTTTATATTCTTCCTGCCAACATGAACAATTAGACATCTTTCCACATTATAATCCATCTACCAGACTTTTGCCCACTCCCTCAATTTATCTATCAGTCTGCAATTTCTTTATGCTTTCTTCACAACATACTTTCCTACCTATCTTGGTGTTATCAGCAAACTTAGTCATCATGCCTTTGCTCCCCTCATCTAATTCATTGATATGAATTATAAAATGTTGAGGCCCCAGTACAGACCCCTGTATGATCCTACGACTCACATCCTGCCAATGAGACAAAGGCCTATTTACACGTACTGTTTTCTGCCAGCCAGCCATTCTTTTATTCATTCTAATATGTCATCCGTGACACAATGAGCTTATTCTCCACAAGAACCTTTGATGTGACATTTTACAGAAATCTTACAGCCTTCTGGAAATCCAAGTACAGTACATCTACAGGTTTCCCTCAATCCACAGCTCTTGTTATTCCTTCAAAGAACTCCAACAATTTGACTAAACGTGATTTCCCTTTGTTAAAACTATCCTAACTTTTCCCAATTATCTTGAGTTTTTCTAACTTTAATATCTTTATTGATCAATTTTAAGACATTCCTCATGACAGACATCAAGCTAACTGGCCGTTGTTCCGGTTTTCTGCCTTTCTCCATTCCTGATAGTTGCTACATGCCAATCCTGTGGAATCTTTCCTGGATCTAGAATTTTTTTTGACAATTAACATCTATGCATCTACTACATCATTAGGAACCTTTTTTAAGACCCAAGACCCAGATATTTGCCTGCCTGAAGCTCTAACAGTTTGGCTAGTACGACTTCTCTCTTGATTGTAATTTCAGTAAATGCCTCTCTTCCTTCCACCTTCTTATTTAGAACCATTATTGGATTTTTTAATCATATCTTCTATTGTGAACATAGAAGTAAAATATTTAATTCCATCTGCCATTTCCTTAGTATCTACTGTTAATGGCCCATTCTCACCTCTAGAGGAACAACATTCACTTCATGTACTCGTTTTTAAATACTTGTGTAAACTCTTGCCATGTATTTTTACATTCCTATCAACCTTTCTCTCATATTTTAAATTCTTTCTGTTGAATAACGTTTTAATCATTCTTTATATTCTGACTAAGCAGCTGACCTGCCATTCATCTGTGCACTATGGTGTTTTTTTTCTTAAGTATTAAACTTTCCTTTACTAATTTAGTTAACTGTGAACATTGGGCCACCCTGTTAGAATATTTCACTTTGATATCCCACATCTTTTTACATTGATCCCTTGCCCCAATGTTAAAACCCTCTCTACTTCCCTACTTACATGGTTCACAAGAGCATTAGTCTCAGCACAGTTCAGGTATAGACCATCTCAACAGTACAGCCTCCACTTTCCTCAATACTAGAGCTAGTGGTCCATGAACTGGAACCTACTCCTTCCACAGCTCTTTGAGCCATGTATTCATCTCTTTAATTTTATCTACCCTGTGCAATTTGCACACAGTTTAGGTAATGTTCCAGAGACTAAAACCTTGAGGTTCTGCTTTCTAATTCAGTATCTGGCTCCTCATGTTGTCTGTATAGAACTTATTTCCTAGTTCTGTTTGTGATTAGTATGCACACAGACCCTAACCTCTGCATCCTCCTTGTCCCATTGCAAATACCTTTTCAGTCCTGAATCCTGGCACTGAGGGGTAACAGTCTCCTGAACTCTCACTCTTTGCTGTATAGAATAGTGTCAATCTCCTCAGTATACTATCACAATGACTACAACATTCCTTGTTGCTCTTCCCCCACTCAAATGGCATCCTGAACCATGGTCAGTCTATACATTCACCCCGCAGATCTGATTTCATCCAAACAGACTGAGCAAACCTCAAACCTATGGAACAATTGCAGAGGTTGTCACTCCATCTCCATGGACAGCACTATATGTCTCACTCAGTCACAACCCTCTGTTCCTGACCACTGATCAGATCAGAAGACCCTATTCTAAGTGGTGTGACTGCCACCTGATACAAAGAATCCAGATAAATTTCCCCCATCCAGACGCATCCCAGTGTCTGTAGTTCTGCCTCCAGTTCAGACTGAACCAAAGCTGCTTGAACTTCAAACGCTTACTGCTGACATGTTTGCCCTGGGTCGCAATGGTATCCAGGAGCTGCCACATGATCCAGCCTTGACACATTACCCAAATTGCCATCCTTAATGAGTTTCAATTATTTAACAATATTATTTACTTACTTATGTTGCCAATTTTATATTTTATTAACTTCACAATTTGTATATTACATTAAAATTGAAGAATAAAAAAGGACCTTAACCACTTACTAGAACTTCACCAACAGCTACCTCCTTTCCCTGTAGTAGAGGAAGACTAATTCCAGTCTGGTTGTCTCTGAATGCTGCCATGCTATCCTTTTCTCACCTGCTCCTGCCTATTTCAGAGTCCTCCACTGACCTGCTCTTCTTGACAAAATGTATCATTTTCATTTCATTGGTAGTTCTGTACTACCAACAACTATTTTGCTTGTGGTGTAAGCAGACTGAAACCCATTTAAACTCCTTTCTTGAGAGAAGGAATCATTAGAAAAAAAAGAATCCTCTTCAGGGGACAGGTATTTTGCCATTTTTTCTGGTCTAATTTTAAGTATGTAATCTGCAAAACAGGTATTATATAAATATTAAAGTATCAAGGTATTAAAGATGAATTTTAAGAATCCTGCACTCTGTTTTCTTTGAATATCCAAACTTTCCAGTTAAAATTTAAAGTTTACATATAATAGATTCCTGTGCAAGGGAAAATTACAATAGAAGAAACCAAATCTTGACACTTCTGTATGATGTTTGTACTATGGATCACCAATCTAATGATAGCCCTATGTGTTTTCAGGATCCTTCGATTTTCACAGTGTTAACTGCTAAATCAACTCGTCCAGGCGTGGCTATCGCAGACTTTGTCATCTTTCCACCACGCTGGGGAGTGGCTGATCACACATTCAGACCCCCATACTACCATCGTAAGATATGGAAAATCCATTATGTCTTTTTTTAACATAGTAATAGACATATTATATTCAAAAAGGCAAATACACCGTTCCAATGAATTCTGTCTAGTCTTTGGCACTGATTTGAAAAGATCTTGGACAGGTGATGTAAAACATTAGAAAATTAATCTGTATTAATCCCCAGCAGTAAGATGGGAGAGATATTGTAATTTATTGACTGTTTTTAAGTTAGACCAATTATTTATATTCCATCTTACTTCTGTATATAGAAATATAGGACACCATAGGGCATTGCTTGTGCACAAATATGCAATTGGATGAGCTATAATGATGTCATTGCCATTTGTAGTATAACCTAAGGGTTACAGGGATAGGCTAGGGAAATAGGTCTGGGTGGGAGGCTCTTCGGAGGGTGAGAATTGCCTGTTTCCACACTGTAGGGATTCTATGGATTCCAATAATTTTCTGTGTGATTAAAGTACTTTATCATTAGTGTGAGGGTGCTGGCTTAAAAATTTTAAGACAGATGTCACTTCACCAGAAGGGTAAATCATCCATGTGCATTTCCCAAGTCTTCAACCGTTGAGTTTTGAGTTGTACCAAGAAGGCAACAAACTAGTAATGAAAAAGAGTCTTAATATTACTGAGCTATTAAAGAACTGAGCCTTAATTTTAAATTCCAATATGTCTCTAGTCAATAGGTTAAATACCAAAGGGAAAATGTAAAGCAGGGTCTGTAGTTTGCAAAATAAAAGGTTTTCATGTTTCCTTTCTTTCATCACCAGGCAACTGTATGAGTGAATTTATGGGGTTGATTAAAGGTCATTATGAGGCAAAAGAGGAAGGCTTTCTACCTGGCGGAGGTAGTCTGCATAGCATTATGACTCCACATGGACCAGATGCAGAATGCTTTGAGAAAGCAAGCAAGGCAGACCTCACACCAGAACGAGTAGCTGATAAAACAATGGTAAGTGAAAAAGGAACCTTAAAGACAGTGAGGTGCACTTTCTATGCAAGAAGACACATTTTCTTGATCACCAACTACATACCCTGAGCAATGCCTTTACTCCTAAACACCATTTTCTATTGCAATGGGAACTATTTGTTACTATTTGGCAGATGAATAAAAAAAAGTAGATGTTGCAGCTATAAACTACCTAATTTATATTGTTGGACATGATAAAAATATGGTCACTGCCCTTGAAAATCAGTTTGATGGCAGATAACAAGCATAAGGAAATGCTATTTTATATTTTTGAGTTAATATTTTGTCCTGCTCAATTTTTGATCTCCACAATGAAATTAATGTGGTCCATTACAATTGGGTGCAACAGGAAGAGCAACCAGTAGGTGGAAGCCAGGAATGTTATCTGAAAGGACTGACTTGAAGTATGACCTTAGGTTTATAAAGTACTTTTCACAGGAAGTTCCATAGCACGTTTTAGCCTCTGAAGTGCTTTTGTGAATTGTAGTCACTATTGTAACGTAGCAAAATGTGAAAGCCAATTCCTCCATAATCAAGTTCCAAAGGTAGCATGGAGGCGATGATTTGATAAGCTGCTTTTCAGTTATTTGGTTGAGGGATGAATACCAGCCAAGCAGAGTTCACCTGATCTTCATCAAATTGTGGCAGGGGCATTTTTGCATTACTTGTGAAGCAGACAGCACCACTGACCCAGGAGATGCGATCTCTGATAATATAGCACTCACCCGGTAGTACACAGAACTAGGTGTTCACGTCTCTGAGTGAGGCTTGAACCTACAAACGTTGGTCTCAGACCTGACAGTACAGCTACTAAACCGAGGGGCTGATCCATAATTCACCAACATGACCAACTTTTAAAATTCAGAAAAAATAATGCTTAGCCAAAAGTTGTATAAGACAGACAATAAACAACATTTTCACCCTTGATAAATTTTGGAAAATAACTTATACATCTGATATCATCACCACATATTCTAAAGGATATGAACACCCTTTTAGTTTGTCCAATTACCTAAAATAATTTGTCCAATTACCTCAACAAATAGTTTACATAATAAACATTTGCAGAAAAATGACAATTCACTGATGGGTATTTGTTTACAGAGGAGACCCAAAGTGTTATGTGATGTCAATGCCAGACATTGGTTCTGGAAGATATGTAATGTCTTTGGCATAATCTTATTCCATAAAAACAGCTTATGAAATTTATTCAGTCAAGAGTATTAGAAATCAAACACTCCCAATCATAAACTTCTCAACTAACATTAACAGGGTTAAATTAAAATAAGTGAAAATAATTATTTTTCAAAATGTGATCATGAGAACTAGAATTATCATCTAGGTATATGCAGCAACACTTCAAGTTAGTTACAGATGCATAAGCAGTTTGTATTATTGACAAGTACTTCAGCACTGCAGATCTTCGTAAAACACGATTGCTCATGGCTCAGAGTATTGCTGGACAATGTGCATCATCCAACTGAATATCACTGCCAAGTTTGTACAGACTGAGAAATGTGCTGTTCTTGGAACATACTCATGTTATGTTACTTATCTCAGTTGGATTCAGTGTTCACTTGTTTCTGTTCAAAACTGCATAATACCCCATTCGTTGTTAAGCTAATCTATTTATTAGTTCATTTTCTATTTCATTTGACAGGCATTTATGTTTGAGTCCTCGTTTAACATGACTGTCACCAAATGGGGCCTGGAGACCTGCAATTGCCTAGACAAAAGCTACTCAAAGTGTTGGCAGTCACTGAAAAATAATTTCAATCCGAACTGGAAGCCAAATGCCAAGTGAACATGGGATCCAGGATTCCTCTAACATGGTGAGATAGTCCAGGAAACCCAATCAACTGAGTTGTTAAAAGGGGAAAAAAATACCTGGAAAGTCAGAGTATTAGGAAGATATAGATGATGCAGGAAATTGGGATTAAATACACAAGAGTTGCTAATAAAACAAAGTTCCCTTTGATTGGCCTTCATATATACACACACACATATATATATACAATTGGAAGCTTTACCTGGCATTTCTTGTTACACCTGCAAACATATAAATAAACCTCTCTTTCCATAATCTCTTTCCATAAAGGCAGATCCCTAGAGTCAGCTGAAATATTGCATTAAGGTTTTGAAATTGTTGCTGTAAGTAGAAAGCATGCTCATGGAGAAACATGTTAAGAAGACCTCTATGAACTAATAGGAAATTTCAAAAGATTATGAATTGATAGTTCTTTACAACCTTGAGATAAATCACCACTAAAATTTGAGTTCACCAATACAATGGAAAGTTAAAAGATACCGATACACAATAAGTACAGGTGACAAGATATGTTGTTTCTACTCTACCAGTGCATTGCATACATAAGAAAGCTGAGAATATAAGAACTGTTCACATTGGATATCCATACCTGACAGCATTCTCTCCAAAGTGTAACCATCAGACATTGGAATTCCCAGCTGTCACAATTTGGTGGGTGCCAAGACACACTTAAGTGGTGAATGTGCCTTTCTGAACACAGAAGTGGCGATCTATCTCACGTCCTGTGACTTTGGCAAGGACATTGGCAGAGCTCCCAGGCAGAAGCAATCTGGGCCCTCTTTCCAGCATTATAGATTTTCAGGGCAATGATTCAAAACCAATCTTAAAAGTTTTGACACATGGCACCTTTCTAGACCAGCAATTTTCAGGATATTTGAATGGCTTATTGATTCTGAATTAGAGACAGTTTAATTTTATTTAGTTTGTGGTACATTGTTTGTACCTGATTTTGTAAGACCAATCAGCAGGTGCAATTCAAAGAATCAAATTATGAAAGGTTGTTCCTATCACGTTTAGTGCACTATAACATTTTTTTAAAAAGTACTTGTTCCAGGGTAATGTTTAGATTTCTATTTCCAATTGATGCTAGCTAATGATTTAATTCATTATTTTTGTACTGTAATTTCAGATCAAACTTTTGACCACTGGGAGGAAATCATAATATTTCCATATACACCAACTGGACCGATTATTAGGTCTCTACAGAAATGTGATGTTAATTTCTATTGAAGTAAGATTGATGGCAGTAATTAAAAAAAAGTATAATTTCAGTTACATAAATGACTGCATTTGACGATGAGTTTAATCAAGTAAAAAAATTAAATGTCAGCTGTTAAGACTTATTGACCTGTTTATCTGAAAACAATAAAAAATACAAAGCTTCACAACATGGTCATCAAAACTATGTTTATACCAACTTGCTAAACCCTTGGGCAATCTACCTGTTATAGAAAGCTGAAACTAAATTTCTGCAACTGATTTAATACAATTCTTTGTAGAATGATATATGCTCAGTTATTCATCACACAGCAAAACTAATTTTGCATTACTGAACACCGTTTTATCAGTTCAGGGGAGTAAACATTATGAAGGCAATGCAGCTATGACAGCTCCAACTTTTCACAATTCTGAAGATCACAGAACTGGTATGTCCAATGTTTCCCTTCACAGCCATCTCTGCTGAATATTTTCACAATTTTCTGCTTTTGTTCCGTCTTTCTTGTCTTTATTCTCACAAATTATTGATTATCTACAAACTCCTTTCTTAGGTCTCACATTAGTTGATATTACAAACATACAAATAAAGAGCAGCAGCCCTTTGAGCCTCCTCTATTTTTCAAACAAATCACGGCTGATCTATTCATATTTCAAATATCACGTTCCTATCAAACCCTGCTCCCCAACCAGATAACATTTGATTCCCTTGCTTAACAAGAAACAACCTAGCTTTGCCTTAAAAATATTCAATGACTTTCACAAGCAGGGTTTCAAAGTTTCGCAATCCTCAGAAAGAAAAATTCTCATCTGTCCTAAAAGGACAACCTTCAATTTTAAAATAATGAACAGTTCTCACTCGTCTGTTACTAACCCACACTCCTTCAAATTTAGCATTTGTGCCTCTAATTAAAACAAAAATCCCTATTCCCCGAGATAGATTATTGACTAACAGGGGAGTCAAAGCATATTGAGGTAGACAGGAAGGTGGGGTTCACATCAGATGACAGGGCAAGCTTGAGGGGCCTACTCCTAATTTGTTTGGTCTTATGTTTGTGCAAACCACTGGTCCATCTTCTTCCTTCCCTTCCTTTTGTAAGTCCTTAATGTGTTGATGCCTCCCAAATCTTGCCCGTTCTTCCTTTAACTCCATGATATAATCTCTCCAACTGTGTTTCATGCTATAGTACCAAAACATCAGTGTCAAAGTTAAAAACTATAACAATGAGAAAGTCAAGCCATCCCTTCCCATTTTCTTACATGAGAAAATTTACAACCTTTGATATAGTTGATTATTCCAACACCTCTCAACTGCCATCCACTTGGATGGGATTGCAGTCACCCAGTTACATTCTTTTCTAATTGCAGCCAGAGAATTACCGACATTTCTTCCCACTACCATACCATTAAATTATGGTGCCCATAAGGACAGATTCTTGACCGTCTCATTTTTCATTCACTTGTTCCTAGGCAACGTCAATAAAGTGTCAATTTTCATATACACTGACTCTGCATAGCTGCAGCACCTGAACGATCAGGCTGCTCTTGTTCATTTGATACTCAATGCAGAATGGTTCTCTTCCAAATGTTGGGGGGAAAAGAAAATCAGTTATTATCTTCCATTCCCAACAAACTCTGTCCCCTTTCTATAGGCTCCATTCCTCACCTTAGCAACTGTTTTGAGGCTGAAACAGACTATTTACAATCATCGTGTCGTATCCAACCCAAAGATGAGTTTCCAACCACCATCAAGTTCATAAAAATTGTGCTGCTCAGCTCATCAGCTGCTGATACCCTATTGTAAGTCTTTTCTAACAATAGTTGATCAACGTAAATGCATAGTCGGGCTCTCATGCTACTTTCATCAAAAAGTCATCCAAAATTCTGCTAGCTCTATCCTAACTCGCACTAAGTCCTGTTCATATACCACCTGTGCTCACTGACCTACATTGAGGCACTGGTCAAGTGGAAATCTATTTTAAAATGTTTATATGCTTGTTCTCATCCCACCCAATCTTTATATAATCTTCAGACCACAAGTGAGAAATTAGTGAATCTCTAATTCTGGCATCATGTGCATTTGATTTTGACATCAACACACTTTTAGTGGCTGTGCCTTCAGCTGTCAATGCCCTAAACTCCAGAACTTCTTTCTGAAAGCTCTCTGTCTTTCCACTCCTTAAATTAACCTTTTTATACAAGGTTTTGGTTATTTGGCCTATCTCCTTCTGTGACTCAGTGCCAAATTTTGTTTGCTCATGATGGTAGAGCATGTTAAGGTATTTTGTGTTAAAAGGCACCATATAAATACAAATTGTTGAGATATTCAACATCACACTTCTGCGAAATACTTTGAGCAAGGAGTAAAACCTAAAGAATCCTTCGTGACTGGTTTCAGGAAAAGACAGAAACAACAAAAGAAATATAGCAATACTATCCAAAGTCTTATTCAGGTAATGAGAAATTGCAAAGAAAGATCAAGGAAGTTAGAATTTAAATCATTTATTAAAGCACAAAGAGGTTTTACAATTTTTGCATCATATACTGTACAATTATTAATCATGTTTGTTGTCGCTGCTTTGAGCGTTCACGATGTTAGATTAAATGGTCGCTCCATTCCCTCCTTAATAAGTTTTTCTTTGCGGTCCTTAAAAGAAAACAGAATCCACAAATTAGATAAGATTTCAAATGGAAATGAAATGTAATCAAACTGCATCAAAAGGTGACTGTTCTCAGTTTAAAAGAATTACATTGAGTGTACAGCATGGAAACAGGCAATCTGGTCTTAACTAACCTTTTCAGTATATCTTTCCATTTATCAGTTATTTGAGATTTTTGTCCATCACCTTACATAGTTAGAAGGATTCCGACAATGATCTTAAGAGGATATAACAAGCAAGGTGGATAAAGGTGAACCAGTAGTTGCAATGCATTTGGATTTCCAAAAGGCAATTGATAAGATACCACGCAAAGACGTTCCTTCTGGCACAGGAGAGACTACTGCATGAAGTTTAGGTATCTATGCTTATGGATGGATAAACTAGCTTGGAGACAATTCAGAGAAGATTCACTAGGTTGATTCCTGAGATGAAGCATTTGTCTTAAGTGGAATAGTTGAGCAGGCCTAGTTACATTCTTATCTGTCTAATCATTGGCAGAGAATCATCTGCAATGCCTCTCTTCCTGCTCTCAAGCTGTTACCTGATAACCAGCATTGGATAAGGTTTCTCTGCTCTAAACTCTATTCAGTAGCTACTGGCTTAGTTCTTACCCTTGACAGCAATCTGAGGTCATCAGTCTGCATTCAACTTTACTGTTATAATTGAGATTAAGATGAGCATCTAACTTCATAATCGCACCAAGGTTTATTTTCAACTTCATCACATGGCCTGACATTACCTTTCCTCAACTCATCTGTTGTTAAATCATCAATCAAGCCTTTGTCAAATATAGACTTAACTAGGCCTCCAGTGCACTCCCACTGGTTTCTCACATGATACCCATGTTGCAACCAAGTCTAATTCCACTAGCGCTCCTGTGTTTGTTGGCCTACATTTGTTCCCTGTCAAGATATTTCTCAGACTAATGGATTGATTGCTTGAGAAGATTGGACAGGCTAGGCTTGGATCTGCTGCAGTTTAGAAGAAAATGAGGTGATGTTAATGAAAGTTTTACTACCTTGAGCAGTCTTGACCGGATACACGTGAACAGGATGTTTCATCTTATAGGGGAGTCTAAAACTAGGCGTTGAAATTTGAAAATAAGAGATCACCCATTTAAGGTGGGGAAATTTTAGAAAAAAAAAGAGAAATTCTTTCTTGGGGGTTGTGGATCTTCGAACTCTTCCTAAAAAAATGGAGTGAAAGAAGAAGGTTTTTAAGGGAGAGGTACATAGATTCTTGATAAGCAAGAGAGTGAAAAGATTATTATGGGTAGCAGGGAATACAAGGTAACCAGATCAGTCAGGACGTTACTGAATGACAAACCGGCACGAGGGTCAGAGTGGCCTACTCCTGTTCCTAATTCATATGCTTGTAACATCAATTTTAAAATTCTCATCCTGGTTTTTAAATCTCTTCTGCTCCATATCCCAATGAAATATCTGTGCTTCTACAATCCTAGCTTCTTGAACATCCCCAATTTTAGACTGCTCCACCACTGGTGGGGCATGCTTTCAGTCGACTTGGCCTCAAGTTTTGAAATACACCTCTAGCTCACTTTACTCCTTTAAAAGTCCTCTGCTTGGAAAAAGCTCTTGTTCGTAATCCCCATTACCTCTTTGTGATTTGGTGTCATTACTTTGTCTATAATATACTTTTGTAAAGCGCCTTAGATGTTTTATTATTTAGAGGCTATGTTGCCAGGGATGCCAATCCCAAAGAATAACAATAGCCACCACCACTGCTGCCAGTGAATGCAAAAGGTTTGAGAAGTGCTGCTTTACTGAGCAGCTGTCTTCTTCTTTCAAAGGCTAAGATCATGTTCTTCATGGGTCTATGTTTCTGAGGTCCTCCTTTGTCATATCACAATCCTCAACTGAAATGTCTTTAAATTGGTGAGCTCTGTCCACTGAAGACGCACCAACCTTACTAAGCCACATTGTTAAATATATTAAACTACTGCCCGACCCTTTCAGTTGCTGCTCCAGCACTGAACATTTCCACAAAGGAGAGCTACCTATGGGGCTCAAGGATTGCCCCTAGTTCACAACACAGTTTAATGAAAATATATTGAGGAATATTGGGCCAAGTCTCCACAGTAAAATACTGGCAGATGGAAGTGAAGTTCTAGTTCCTAATTGACAAAATTCTCACCAGTTATGGATTAAAACCTGAAATCTCACATTCTCTAATGTTGGATCAAGTTGGACAATAGCCATATGAAACTTTACTTCATTCATTTATTCTCACTCTTCTTACCCTATCTGTTTTGAAGACATAGTACAATATAAATAGAGGCGCTACTCCACAGACAAATCCTAACAGTGACGTCTTAGGACTTGGACGGAAGTTGGGATAGATGTGGTTCAGACTGCGAGCATATGTCCAACGGGTGAGGGCTGGGTCTTCCTGTAAAATCCAAATAAATAGTATCAAATTATTTGCTAGAAAGGACTAGAAGCAAACTTGGAACAAGTTAAAATATAAACTGGATTATAGTTAATTTTGAGCAATAAATGATCAAAAAATGTACACGAGTTTCAAATAAAAGATTCTCATTGAACACTGAAAAGCACTGATCAAATTAAGCATCAATGCCAACAATTTCTACAGTCACCCTGAAGAAACATAGAAAGATGCAGAGTTATCACCTTATTCATGCTCCAATTCTCTAATGCAAAACACATCATGTAGAGATATGATTTCATGAATGGGTAGTTGAGCTAAGGTAAGATGAAACGTCACCATGACCTCAGTAGTCATTTGCTAGCATTCTGCTGGCAAGAAAGTAAGACCTTGTACATCTTGGAGCAGGTTGCTGCATCCTCATCACATACAGTGAAACCATAAACAATATTAATCATCGCAAACAAGTCTTGCCTGAGCTAGGACCCAGAAGACCTACATTAGAACCTGATTCCATTTAACACTACAATTTCTCACAATAGCCAAGTTCGTCACTTGAAATAACCAGCCTGTAAAAAGCTGCAGGCAGTTTTGTGATCTGCACTCATTAAAACTTATTTAAACAGTTAAAATTAACTTCATGCTGAATGAGGAAACTGTTAAGCAACTTCTAATCTTGCTAAAGATGTGTTAAGAAGTATCATTCACAATTTTGGGAGTTTTTCCTTTTACTGGCTGCCAGAATATGGGGGACTATATACATGCTATCTGTTGCTAGCAATGGCAAGTCTGCATTAACTGCCCACTCAAAGTTCCCCTTTAATGATGGTGGACTCTGCAGCAGTCCTTCTGGTAACACTGCTCCAAAGTGTTAAGAAGCAGAAAATTCCAGAACAATGATTTAGCAAACAATGGAGAACGACTAATATTTATCCAAGTCAACATGTGGTCCAACTGCAATTTTCACTCTGTCCTACTCTGTTCTGCAACGTGACCAATTTAAGTACTTGGGAGGAGAATAAAAGTTTGGAATGCCTGAAAACATACAATTTATTTTCTAACATTTAAGTCGCAAGACATTGACAACTCACTTTATAAACTATTCTTCTTAAAGAGTTGAAGAACATAATATTTTTTACAGCACATTTAGCTTAGCAAAATATTTCAGGGCTCAAAATGTTGTGGCTCATTTTGACTGAGTTTCTGAAGATCTCAGAATAAATGAGCAGTAACAAGCATCAAAAAAGTATCAGACTAACAATTCAATTCAGGGATTGAATGCAGGGTCAGGAATTGGATGGTTGGAGAGATCTTGAAAGCCTCATATGGTCATTCCTCTCTATACAAGTCACCCTCCGGTGACTGTCACCCTACAGTCCTTCTCCACTTTTAACCTTCACCTCACATATACTCTCTCTCCTCCAATATCCCATCTCTCCCACTCCTCACTATCACCCGTTCTCCATCCTTTTTCAACCATCCCCTCACGCTCACCACAACTCCAGCACTGTTTCTTTTCCTTTCATCAAATATCCTCCCACCACTCATTTCCACACTCCACAGCCACAGGATTGAGGATCCTGTGACAGGCGGTCAACATCACTGACAAGAGTTGGCAAGATGAGGACACAGAGAGGCACTCAACATCAATGAAAATAGCAGGAAATCCGCACAGAGAAGCAGAGAGACTGGCAGTGGACTCAAGTGAGACTTGGGTCATAAACAGGAGTATGATTTTTTTCTAGTTTATACTTAAGTAGGAGTAAGGGTAAACTAAACATAGGAAATAGCAAGAAAACAGTGCAAATATGTTCCTGTAAAGACAAAGAGTGGAACCAAAACCAGAGAACCTTGGATGTCAATGGACACAAAGGATGGATTAAGAAAAAGAGAAATTTATGATAGATACTGAGGGCTCCGTACAGCAGAGTCACTGAAAGCAATATAAAATGTACAGAGAGGAGAACCTAAAAAAAACTAAGAAAGCAAACAAAATGCTTGAGAAAGCTTTGACAGACAGAATAATGGAAACCCAAAGGGGTTTCTTTAAAATCTATGAAGAGCAAGAGCTTCAACACTTTGTGTTGGTCTTCACAATCTAAAAGGACAGGTATAGAAATCAGAATGGAATACTGTGTAATATTAGAAGAAATTAACATGGACAGAGGACAGATGCTAGATGGTTTAGCAGCCTTAAAAGTGAGTAAATCTGCAGGCCATAATGAGATGTACCCTAGGCTGCCGAGGGAGGCAAGGGCGGAGAAATCGGCAGTCCTGGCAGTAATTTTCAAATCCTCTCTGGCCACCGGTGAGGTGCTAGAGGACTGGAGGATTGCTAACTTTGTCCCATTATAAACAAAAGGGAGGAAGGGATTAACCAAAAAATTCCAATCAATCTAACATTAGCGGTGGGGAAGTTCCTATAAAGAATTCTGAGGGTTGGAAAATATCCACATTCAAAGAGACATGGATTAATTAGCGATAGTCAACACAGATTTGTTACAATGTGGTCACATTTGTCAAACCTGATTGAACTTTTTGAAGAGGTAACCAAGAGTGCTGGTGAGGGTAATGCAATTAGTGTGTTTTGCATGGAAGGCTTTTGGTAAGGTCCCTTGTTTTTCCCGACAACTGACAGTGGATTTGTGGTCATCATTAGACTTTTAATTGCAGAGTTTTATTGAATTCAAATTCCACCATCTTCCATGGCAGAATTCCAATCCAGATCCACAGAACATTTCCTGGGTCTCTGGATTAACAGTCCAGCGATAATACCCCAGGCCATTGCCTCCCCTTTATCAAGAATTTACAACTGACAAAATAAATTGATATCCTCCTCATTATTTACTATCCTAGCAATGAGTGGTCAGATGCGCAGAGCAGTGGCAAATGGAATTCAATTGGGAAAAATGAGAGGAATGCAACTGGGCAAGGCTAACAAGGCAGGCAAGTACATTATGAATGTTAAGACCCTGGAAAGTACTAAACATCAGAGGAACTTTGGTGTGCATCTTCACAGATCTCTATAGTTAGCAGGATAGGTAGAAAAGGTGGTTGGAGAAGGCAGATGGGACACTTGCCATTCTTAGACAAGGTATCAAATACAAGAGTAATAAGGTTATGCTGGAACTGTTAAAAAATAAACACTGCTGGTTAGGCAGTAATAGGAGTACTGCATGCCGTTCTAGTGACAACATTACAGGAAGGATATAACTGCATTAGAGAGAATGCAGAGTAGATTAATGAAGATGCTGCCTGGGCTGGAAGGTCTGAGCCATGAGGCATGAGGAAATCTTGGATAGGCTGGGGTTGTTTTCCATGCAGCAGTGAAGGTTGAAAGGGAACCTGATAGAGATATCTAAGATTATGAGGGTCATAGCTGGATGGATAGGAAGGCACATTTTCCATTAGTAGAGCAGTCAATAACCAGAGAGTATAGATTTAAGATGAGGAGGGTAATGAGAATTTTCACTAAAAGGATAGTGGGAGTCTGGATCTCACTGCTTAAAAGGGTATTTTGGTCTGTGAAGTATTGTGTGCAATTTTTTGGCTCCTGTGTCTGAGGAATGGTTGTCTGGCTAAATATTTACCAGACTGATTCCTGGGAGGGCAGGACTGGCATCCTGTACGAAGACAGGCTGGATGAGATAGGACTATCTTCACTGGACTTTAGAAGAATGAAGGGAGATGTCACAGAAACCTGTAAAACTTTAACAGGACTAGACTGGGCAAACACAGGAAGGAGTCCAGTCTAAGGATACAGGGTAGGCCATTAAAGGCTGAGCGGAGGACAAATTTCTTTACCTAGAGAGAGTGGCGAGCCTGTAGAAATCTCTGCTAATAAAAGCAGTGGAGCCCGAAACATTGAATATTTTCGAGGAGTCAGATAAAATTCTTAGGGATAAAGAGTTCATAAAGTATGGGGAGAAAGTGGGAACAGTGCACTGGGTTGGATGATCAACCATGATCACACCGACGGATGGAGTTGGCTCGAAGGGCCAAATTGCCTTACTTCAGCTCCTGTTTTCTGTGCTACAAAACTCTCGAAATGGTTAAAGTATTCAGGTATTCACTTGCTTTGCCATAGCCTCCAAGGCTATGCGCCAAAAGCCTGAATGGACACAGGTCAGATCTGAGAAGTGTGTACATTACAGGCTGAATGTGCTGTAAACACCTGAGTCAAAACACCCAGACTTCGACTTCGACTTCTTCTTCTTCTTCTTCCTCCTCCTCCATCACCACCACCTCCACCACCCAGCCTCGCTCCCTCCCCCCCCCAACCACCACCTTCCTTCCATCCCTCCCTCACTCACTATCCGCTCAGTCCGATTCGGGTTATTGAGTTGGCTCAGATACTGCAGCTTGAGGCGGGCCCGGATGGCGAGTCTTTCCTCCTGGGCCCGGCGCTCCTCGGGGCTCAGCTCTAAGTACTCGCGGGGATCAAGAGTCTGAGGCCGGGAGGCAAGCGGCGCCTCTTTATAATCGGCCATGACTTCAACAAAACCTCGATCAACAACCACCCAAACGCCCCGGCGTCCTTCAAATATAACTTTATTGACTGCTCGGTACAGCTGCTGAGCATGCGCGCTGCCTGTACCCTCCCTCCCTGCAGCGACCCCCACGGGTTGGAGGTGAAACTGGAGAAGGAGCTGGGACAAGGACAGCAGCAATTTACAACATGGCAATGAAAGACACATGGGTGGGGGGTAATGGAAAGGTGAAAGACGCAAGCTGGAAGAACAACACCTCATTGTCCGCTTGGGCATCTTGCAGCCCTCCAGACTCAATATCGTGTTCAATAATTTTAGGGCCTGAACTCTTGTCCCAGCCCCCTACCCCTGCACCAGGCCTTGTTACCACATAATAAAAACCGAAAGAACTGTAGATGCTGTAAATCAGGAACAAAAACAGAAGTTGCTGGAAAAGCTCAGCAGGTCTGGCAGCATCTGTGAAGAAGAAAGTCAGAGTTAATGTTTCAGGTCCGGTGATCCTCAGGGACTACTGATCCTGAGGAAGGGTCACCAGATGTGAAACGTAAACTCTTTTTTACCTTCACAAGATGCTGCCAGACCTGCTGAGCTTTTCCAGCAACTTTGTTTTTGTTCTTGTTATCGTTATCACATAGCCTGCCATTACACACTACCTATTGTTAGTCACAAACAGTCCCCATTAACCTTCCTAGCCAGATAGTTATTAACTCCCTTGTCTATCCAACTGCTCTTATCTCTCTTCGGGCTCTATCCTATCATTTATTCCCTACCCCATTCCCCTCCCTATTTTCTGCACATAAACCAACATTTGCCCTGCTACCATCAGCGCTGAGAAAGGGTCACCAGACTCGAAACGTTAACTCTGATTTTTTTCTTCACAGATGCTGCCAGACCTTCAGAGCTTTTCCAGCAAATTCTGTTTTTGTTGATAAATGGGAAGGTATTTGGAGGCTTTGTTAAAATAAAAGTGTCCTATTTCAATGTTTATCTGATTGTCCCTGAAGCTCACCAATTACATTTAGGACAAGAAAGAAACCTAAGCAGATAATTGTAGAATTTGCAAGGAAACAAAAAAAGAAATGCTATGAGATAGAGATAGTAGGAACTGCAGATGCTGGAGAATCCGAGACAACAAGGTGCAGGGCTGGATGAACACAGCAGGCCAAGCAGCATCATAGGAGCAGAGAGGCTGACGTTTCGGGCCTAGACCCTTCATCAGAAAAGGGGGAGGGGAAGGGGGTTCCGAACTAAATAGGGAGAGAGTGGGAGGCGGATAGAAGAGGGATAGAGGAGAGGATAGGTGGAGAGGAAACAAACAGGTCGAAGAGGCGGGGATGGAGCCGGTAAAGGTGAGTGTAGGTAGGGAGTTAGGAAGGGGATAGGTCAGTCCAGGGAGGACGGACAGGTCAAGGGGGCGGGATGAGGTTGGTCGGTAGGAGATGGAGGTGCGGCTTGAGGTGGGAGGAAGGGATAGGTGGGAGGAAGAACAGGTTAGGGAGGCAGGGCGAGCTGGACTGGTTTTGGGATGCGGTGGGGGGAGGGGAGATTTTGAAACTTGTAAAATCCACAATGCTATGAGATAAGTGGGTTCAGTCACTTAAGTTTGAGAAATACCTTGAAAATGTGAGGGAAATTGCAATTATGGAAGAATTTCAAAATAGTAATACATTAACCCTCAAGGCTCATTTAGATAAGTGTCAAGAATCAAAATCCAAGAATCAGCAGTTCAGGCAGATAACTATGATACTTCACACATACAGTTACACGTGGGGAAATAGATATATGGGAATCAATAAGAAAAATGGAACAGAAAATCTGGGGATAGAAAAGGTATTAGTTTTAGGAAACAAACGGAAGAACAAAAAGCCTAGAACCTAAAAATTATATAAAGAAAATAATACACTTCCATTGTAATAAGAGTGAACACATTAAGGCGGATTGCTGCAAGTTAAATTGGGTGATCTATGAGGGAAGCCACAGAAAATGTGGAAAATAAATGAGTCTTAAGTTAAAGCAATGGTATAGGTAGAGTGTGGTTCCCTCAGAATATACTAGAAATAGAGAGACCACTCAGGACAGTCAGGAAAATTCTTCCACAATTATTGCTGAAGAGAATCAGACCCCTGGAGATTCTGAATATTTTATATCCAAAGATGTATTTCCTTATTCTTTTAATCAGTAAGACAAGCTTTAAAAAAACATTAAAGAGTCTTTGGAGCAAGTCTGATGCTGGCTGATGATACAATTTGTGTTCCAGAGGTGTTTGTGAAGGGAAAAAAATAGTTGGAGCTTACAAACCAGTCTCATTGTAGAGTTAAACGAAAGAATGACTTTGTCAGTGGAGAAGTTGTATCAACAAATTCTCATAGATGAAACTGATTTTATCTTGGGTAATGACCTGGCTGTTTCAAAAAAAAAAGTGGCCTCATTGAATGTGCTGAAACAACTAGTGGAAGTGAAAGAAACTGAAATGCTACAGGAGGAACATCCTGGATTATTTCCTGAATATCTCGTGATACGATCTCAGATTATAAATGCTTTCTCTTTCTTTCTAGTCTATCAAGAAGAGAGATGATGTGGAAATAAAGTTATTTGACACTATTTTCAAAAACATAAGTATAAAGGGAGATGGTAAAGAGAATGAGACCAACATATTTAGCCCATCTTCTAACAGATGAATCCTGAATTGAGAGAGTTATATCAAACAGTCGACTCAGAAACTAAATTAGAACCAATACCCAAATGTGAGATAACAAGGTGTAGAGCTGGATGAACACAGCAGGCCAAGCAGCATCAGAGGAGCAGGAAAGCTGAGATTTCGGATCCAGCTTTACACCTTGTTATCTCAGATTCTCCAGCATCGGCAGTTCCTGCTATCTCTGTAACAATACCCAAATGTTACTGTTTAGGAGAAAATGTATTAATGAGGAAATGGAGACCACCTCGAACACCAGCCAATGTGGTATGGGCAGTAATCCATCAGGTGATAGCTCCATCCGAGTATTATAATGAAATTTTATGAGTGGCTCACAAAATTCCAATGGCAGATCACTTATGTATTAGGAAGAAGCAAAGTAAAATATTAACATTTTTATTGGCCAGGGTTATATAATGGGGGAAATTTATACATGTACGCATTTATACCTGTGGTGAAATTTTGCCAGACATGCCATTTATGTCTGGCAGTAGGGAAACACTAACCATTAATTAAACCCGTACCTTTAATTCTAATACCAGCTTTCAACAAACTGCTTTGTTGGGTTTTAATACATTGTATAGACTGTTTAAAACTAGGTGCTGGAATCAGTATCTTTTAACAATTATGGATGTAATAACAAGATTTCCTGAGGTAGTGCCTTTGTGGAAAATTACATATGAAATGGTAGAAAAATTTGTTCTTTTATTTTGAAACAAGATATGAATTATCCAAAGAAAAAAATTGAACAGTAATCTGATCATACGTAACAAATATCCAAAGAAATAGTGAACAATTTGGGAATAAAACAACTATAGTCTTCAGATTATCATACACAATCTGAAGGAGCTTTGTAAAAACAGCATCAAACTTCAACAACCATGATTAGAGATTATTGTTGAGAATGTCCTAGTGATTAGGATAAAGGAATTCCTTTGTTACTGTTTTCCATTAGAGATGCCACTAATGAGTCCACAGGATTCAGTCCTTTCAAACTGATGTACAAATGATGTGGAAAGACCTCTTAAGTTAAAGGAAAACTTATAAACCAAAGCTCACTCACTACACCTCCATTGTATTTGTCAATTTTCCAAGAAAAATTAAGCAAAGTGTATGGATTGGCCATTAGCATTTGAAGTGTACTTGGCAGACCATGAAAACTAGGGCCAAATTTTGGAACTTTGTTGCGAGAGAAAAGGTGCCAGTTATTGTTACTGTTTTTGGGGAACCATTAAAAGAAATGCTCAACGGATCTTATCACATCAAAAAGAATCTCAATGACATGAATTATGTACTGAGTATTCCAGAAAGGAGGAAACAGCATCATACATGTCATGTTAATTTGTTAGAGCAATACTAATGATAGGGAGGATGGTCAAAACATAAGTGTACTTGCAGGTGGTTTAAGTTGGGAGTGAATTAAAAATCAGAATGATTCAAAGGTGATTCAGAAATTGAAATTTCTGAAGTTGATCTTCTAGTAATTAGAATGGACAATAAGGAGGTGCTTGTAAAGTAGAAAGAATTACTTTGCTGTCTCCCAGAAAGCCAAAGTGATGTGCAAAAGCTATTACATACTCAAAACAGTTTGTGTAAATAGGTCAGAAAAGTCATTTTTGGCTATATATAATGCTAATATAGGGGATGTTTCAACCATAAAACAACATACTTATAAATTCAACCCAGAGAAGTTAACCAAAGTGAGAGAAGAGATTACGTTCATGATGGACAATGAGATCATTGAACAGAGTTAGACAGTTGGAAATCACCTATTGTGATGGTGCCGAAACCAGATAGATCACTACTGTGCATAGACTATTGCAAAGTTAAAATGGTAATAAAAGCAGATTCATATCTTATTCCTCAGTTAGAGAATTATATTGAGGGGATTAGACAAGCTGTTTGTTACAACAACTCACTTGCTAAATGGATTTTGGCAAGTTCCACTGACTGATACAGCCAAAGAAATATTAGCTTTTACAATTGTAACCTCAGATGGTCTCAATGTAAAGTCACTCAGAGATAGCAAGAACTGCAGATGCTGGAGTCAAAGTCAATAAAGCGTGGAGCTGGAGGAACACAGCAGGTCAGGCAGCATCAGAGGAGCAAGGAAATCGATGTTTCGGGTTGGGACCTTTCATCAGTCCTGATGCTGCCTGACCTGCTGTGTTCCTCCAGCTCCACACTGAATTGGCCTGAATGTAAACTCATGCTTTCAGAATTAAAAATACACCAGAAACATTTCTGCAAATAACCAACAAGGTAATTGAAGGATAATGCAATTGTTTTGTATTAACAATAAAAAAGGATGGTTGTATTCAGCCAAATGTGGGAAAAGCATTTAGAACACTTGAACAAAATGTCTGATTGATCACCAAGAACCAATTTTGTCATAAATATCACTAAAAGTGAACTTGCCAAAACAAGGCAAGAGAAAGAAGACTAAGATGAAAATTGAGGAGAATTTCTTTTCACCCAGATTGTGCTGGGAGTTTGGAACTTGCTGCCAGAACAAATGATTGAGGTAGGGGTTGTATAACATTTTAGCAGTATTTAGATATTCACTTTTGTTGCCATTACGTCCAAGGCTATGGGACAAGACCTGCAAAATGGAATTATCGTATTTATATCTTTGTTGTCTGATGCAGACATGATGGGCCAAATGGCCTCTTTTAGTACTGTAAATGTCTATATGTTCCTAAAAGTGGATTATTTGAGCTATGGTGTAGGTAAAGACCAAGTTGCACCTTGAGAAGCAAAAATAAGGGCCATCTTGGATTTTCCCATGCCTGAGACAAAATGGACATTTTGTGATGTATCGGAACAAGTGGATATTACCAGAAGTTCATTCTGAATTTCAGCATTATATTGATTTTGTTGACAAGGCTGTCAATGAAAGACAAGAAATTTGAATAGACATGAAATTTAAATAGAACGTCAGTGAGTGGTTCAACAACTTCAAAGCTGTATTGACTACTGCACTAGTTTTAGCAGGATCAAATTATGCAAAATCATTTAATTAGCTGTTGATGCCAGTGGCATCCATGTTGGTGCAGCACAGCTACGGCAGGATGAGATGGGAATGGCCAGTCAGTAATTTTTCCCACACAAACTAAATGTACATCAATAGAAATATTCAACTATGGAAAAAGAGACTGAATTTGCTATTGGTTCTACAACATTTAAGTCTTCATATCTAATACATCTGGGGAGATGTTAACTTATTACACACCATTACTCTTTGGTTTTTCTATCGCGATTCAACACCAAGAATTTGAGGCAATTTTATTGGAGTTTAATGCTACTACCACATAATTTGAAAATCATTTGCATCAGGAAGAAAAGAATATTATGATGGATACTTTATCAAGTGCAAGCACAGAAGAAATGTCGTAATCAAAATGGATTTGTGTAGGATATCATTGTTATGGAAATTTCTTGATTAATTAGTGGAATATTGTTACTGCCAAAGTGACATCTTGTAAAACTACAGCAGCTATAGTGAATGAGGAAATTATAATAGAAAGATGAAAATGTCTCTGAATGATAACATTTCATCTTTTCCTCTGCAGGGAGGTGTGCTGACAGTTCATGATATTTTATTATTTGGAACCTGTGGATATTATTTATTTGGGTACTGAAGTGGTCAGAATAATATACAGCTTTAAGTTTGATTTGTATTTCAATATTGCGTGTGTTAAGGGAAATGAAACCCACGGCTGAGATCAGATACATGTCCGTTTTGACAAGTTTCATGGAGGGTTCCTTTTTTTGAGCCCTCGCAAAATTTCTCATACTATCTTCCCAAACCTGCCTATTGTACCCCACTTGACATATCCTCCCTCTCACTACATGCACATGTACAGGCCACTGCCAGGATTTCCTGTGATTCCTGTTGCCATCTTTGAAGCCTGGCATACACCTGATCAAGCAATGTACAAGGCAGCTCTGGAATTCCAGTCATTATCGATTGCCCCAGACATGCCGAATGGCAATTGGCACCTCACTTTATAACTGGGAATTGGAGGTCCTGGTGGATGGGTGTGTACGTGGTCACTGTCCATGATGAATGCCCGGAAACATTGGTGACTGCTGTACAAGGTGGACCGTCAGAGGACCAAGGGTATAACTGGAGTTCCCAGGTTACCACTCAAACTTCCATTATCAGGAATTGTTGTCATCTAGTTATGTTCCAGTGGGTGGGAGAATGGGAAAATGCAAACACATGAGGTGTGATGAACTAATAATGAACTGCTAATGCACACAAACAGTCCCCTCACCACTCACTATCAAGAATTCCATCTTGGCGTTCAATGCTTGGTTGGAAAATAGTACTTTCCGCTCTTGACATCAAGAAGCTCTTACCTGGCAATCCCTTGGGATTTTCCTAACTTTCTTGTCAATCCCACATTTTTCAGTGTTTTGTTTCATTTTACATTTTGAATTCCAAGAATGCTGTAAGGTTGCCTGGAGTTTATTCATATGCATTTAAATAAGATCTTTGTTTTAAAAAAGGCTTGCAAATGAATAGTTCGATGCTTTTAAAGTTAAGATTGGAAGAAAAAAATGTTTTTGAAACTTCATTTGTGTGTTTTCCCTTTTATAAATTGCGATGTTCTTCAGTTAAAGTATGTTGGCAGACTCCTGTGAACATGTTCGGTGACTGACCACCTTTGTAAACAAATTGTGAAGTGAAATTCATGATCTATCAAGCCAGATTTCACTCCAAGATCTGACTTGTATTACTATCAGCTGGGATCATGATGTTTGTGTGGAAAGTGATGTTACTGCAGGGTTGGGTAATCAAGATGGCACGCAAGCACCAGTGACAACTCAGATCTTTCCACACTAATTTAAGCCGAAGCATTTTTCGGCCACAAGGGTTGAGCCCCCACTTGGCCTTTAATCATAGAAATCATGGAATCCTTACAGTGAAGGAAGAGGCCATTCGGCCCATCCAGTGTGCACCGACCCTCCGAAGAGCATCCCACCCAGACCAAGCCCTCTACCCTATCCACTGTAATCCTGCATTTCCCATGGCTAATCCACCTAGTTTACACATCCCTGGACATGATGGAGCAGTTTAGCACAGCCAATCCACCTAACTCGCACATTGTTGGTGTGGGAGGAAACTGGTGCACCCAGAGGAAACTCACAGTCACAGGGAGAACATGCAAACTCTACACAGGCAGTGGCCCAAGGCTGGGATCGAACCTGGATCCCTGCCCAGCGCTAGAGGTTCTGAGAAGCACCAATGGAACAGAAATCACTCGCATGGAATCTCCAATCCTTTTCCTTGGAAAGAGACCATAATGCAGAGATAAGCAGTCCACAAGAAACTAAAATAGGTTCAAATTAACAAACAATTAGAAAGGCATGGATTAAATCAAGGATTCACTATGAACTTGTAAAGGAAATATTCTGCTAGAGTTATTTCAGTGACTTGGAAAAATTATAATTAATGTCAACTACATGGATTTTTGGAAGAAATTTTAAACATTTCATAAAGGTATTTAGGCACATGATATTACAAGTATAATAAAGAAATTGATGGAGGGATCATTGTGGACAAAAAGTAAACACTAGAAATAAATCAGAAAGATTGGAGGGATATATGCTCTGTTAGGTCCAGGTATCTCTTCTTTTTCCACACATGAAAGATTTTGACATAACACGAAAAAAACTACAAATTTTACTGACTATAGATACCAAATTTACAAACAGACATTGAAGCTTCCAGCTCCAATCCAGTATTTGTCTGATCAGGGAGACAGAGTAGGCCATTCAGCATCTTGAGTTTGCTCCACCATTCAGTATGATCGTGACTAATCTGACTGTTCTAGGAAGGGAGATTGAGGTGCAAATATAATTGTTATCAAGAAGTGTAAATGTTAGTGGAACAGCCCATAAAATTTTATACATGGACACGTCAATTAGAAAAACAAGGAAATTATGTTGAACGACCATATAACTCCATCCATCAAGATGACTTCTTCAAGCTCCAAGATCAGATTGAAAATGGTGAAGACTGCTTTAAGTAGGACTCTATCACAGCATTTACTGATACAGTAAATTACCGAAACCCTATCATGATCATTTTGTTCACTTACTTCTTAGAATCTAATTTTATAATGCTTAAAATACAGGACTTTAAAACGATTTTGCTAAGATAAGTGATAACAACCTTATTCAGCTCTGATGTTGAAAAGATCTTTTATTAAAATTAAAATATTTCAAAGTTACAGATGGTGAATATATACAAAACGCTAATGGAATGCATCACATTCATTTGAAATACTCCATTGGATGATTTATTCAATTGAAAAGATTCTTATGTGCAGTGCAATCAAGTAGTTGGTACAACTGTAACAGTTAAAAAAAATCAACAAGTATTACAATAAAAGATTCTCTATTTAATCAAATATGTAATAAAAAATTACTTATCTTCAATGTTCGATAACACACTGGAGTTTTCAATTTTAGCGTGAGTGTAGAATGATTGATAACAAATTGATTACCTGTTAGATGCCTCATTTGATTTTTCTTCCTTTTAAAACCAATGGAAAGAAAAACTGGGCAATGTGTGTAATTGACAATCAGACAGATAACATACCTTTCACCCCCATCAAAAGTAAAAGTTTGAGGAAATGTACTTCAAATGACCTTAACAACTCAATTGAAAGTATCAGTGTTATACCATTTAAAATGCAAGACAATGAAGGAAGACATGCAATTCAATGTTTTAACAATTAAACTGAAATAGCTTGCCAGAAAGCTTTGATATTGGTTGCAAAATTCCATTTCCTGTTTGAATATTTATAATATCTATGCAACCTATTATGAATTTAAATCTCACCTTTGGGGTTAGAACACTCTAATAGTTTCTCCCCCTGACAGGCAAAAATCAAACTCCCAGTGGCTTAGCAGCATCAAGTTGACAAAACTATTAGACACATTAGTGCGTTTCAACATTGGAAGCCGGGTTACCCAAGACTAACACAAACAGCAAATGGATTTTCTACCTGATGGCGGTTAGCCATTCGTTGTGACAGAATTCTAAGAAGTTGGACAAAAATTAGTTTTTTTAGTTTGTTGCACAGTCCTGAAAACTCCTGGTCATTTCCAAGTTAACTTCATCTGGAAAGAAAGTTTCATACTTAAGATAAAGACCTTTCTGCAGCCAAAACGTAAATGTGTGTGCTTCCTCAGATGCTGACTGACCCACTTTCTGTTATTGTTTCAGATTTACCACATTTCATTTCTTTAATGTACTAAGTTTCAACTTTGCAATAACTTCCAACTTAAAGCAGAAGCATTCATCTACAATCGAAATCCAGAATTGTGTATTTGAATGCGATCCATATGCTACACATACAGGTTTAGAAAGCCATTGGTAGTTCAGTGCGATTGTTAATTTAATGATTAAGCTACTCAATGACCATCATCAAAAATTGAATTAATGTATTGAACCTCTGTGCCTGTTGATATTTAATTACGGAGATTCTAATTTAGAATTAAATTCCTCCTGGAAATCATTAATTTGATTCTTTTAAAACATGCACCTACTCTCAGTTCCTTTAAAATATTACACTCCACGATTTGCATTAGATCATCTATTATGCACATGTAAATATACCTATCTTAATTTTGCATTTTTCTCAATAGCCAGGAGCCTGGAGGTAATCTGTAAAAGGAAAGAGAAAAAGAGACGAAAGTTGTTCTCCCAGCAGGGAGGCAGACAAGTAGTACAACAGAGAGAAACGTACAAGGACGAATATACAGTTGCACAGCTAGGGACAACTTAATGCATCACTGCAGAAGATCATAATAAATCTGAGGTTTCTTGGTTTCAGTTCGGAATTGTTCCACCTTCATTCCAACTCGGAAAAGAATTGCTTCATCCCACCATTTACCCATAATCTGAAAGGAAGCATCAGAGTGATTAAGTTGCAATTTTTTAGGGCAGACAATGTGATTCCAATGCAGTAGTGTGACAATACACAGAGCACAAAAGGCTGGGAACACAAGGTAGAGAATAAGAAAAACAGTCTAACAGAAGATAGCTTCTAATCATTTGTACTAATTTCTACCGTTTCATAGATCATATTGTGTGTTTCGGCATATGCTAATACTGAGTCTGTCTCAACTCATGCTGATCGACCCCAATTACAACATATTCTAAATCTTTCTGGCTCATATCATTTCATGTACGATAGACTGTAGTTTCACTTTTGCATAATAGAGTCTTCTTTCACATAATGGAGTCATAAGAACATAAAGAACATAAGAATTAGGAGCAGGAGTAGGCCATCTGGCCCCTCGAGCCTGCCCCGCCATTTAGTAAGATCATGGCTGATCTTTTTGAGACTCAGCTCCACTTACCCGCCCACTCACCATAACTCTTAATTCCTTTACTGTTCAAAAATTTATCTAGCCTTGCCTTAAAAACATTCAGCGAGGTAGCTTCACTGGGCAGGGAATTCCACAGATTCACAACCGTTTGGGTGAAGAAGTTCCTCCTGACCTCAGTCCTACATCTGCTTCCCTTTATTTTGAGGCAATGCCCTCTAGTCCTAGTTTCACCTGCTAGCGGAAACAACCTCTCTGCCTCCACCTTATCTATTCCCTTCATAATCTTATATGTTTCTATAAGATCTCCCCTCATTCTTCTGAATTCCAATGAATATAATCCCAGTCTACTCAGTCTCTCCTCATAATCCAACCCTCTCAACTCTGGAATCAACCGAGTGAATCTCCTCTGCACCCCCTCCAGTGCTATTATATCTCTTCTCAAGCAAGAACACCAAAACTGCACACAGTACTCCAGGTGTGGCCTCACCAGGACCCTATACAGCTGCAGCATAGCCTCCCTGTTTTTAAACTCCATCCCTCGAGCAATGGCAGACAAAATTCCATTTGCCTTTTTAATTACCTGCTACACCTGCAATCCTACTTTTAGCGATTCATGCACAAGGACACCCAAGTCCCTCTGCACAGCAGCGTGCTGCAATTTTTTACCATTTAAAACATAATCCATTTTTCTGTTATTCCTACCAAAATGGATGACCTCACACTTATCAACATTGTACTCCATCTGCCAGACCTTTGCCCACTTACTTAAACTATCTATATCCCTCTGCAGACTTTCAGTGTCTTCTGCACACTTTGCTCTACCACACAGCTTAGTGTCATCTGCAAATTCTGACATACCACACTTAGTCTCCAACTCCAAATCATCTATGTAATATCAGATCAGACAACAAATGGGTACACACACCTATGACCTCAATCAAACCATTGCCTTAAATCAGACATAATGAAACATTTTTGCCTCATTCATTTACAATAACATTTCTGGCCATCTGCATCAACTTTGAGAGAGTGCAAGATTACCTGAAGGTTTATGGGTAGTCTGGAGGAGCTGTAACCAACAGGGACTACAAGAGAAGGAATTCCTGTCAAATTCGCAAGCTGCATATATCTGAGATGAAAAATATATCACCCAGTTAGATTAAGAATTTTCACAGCTAAAACAAATGTTCATCTGATTCTGGTATTTTTGTTTATCCAATCATGAAGGACTCCTACTTATTTATCTTCCTGTTGGTACATCAGCAACTTGATTACCCAGTATTCCCTAATATCTCACTATATACCTGCACAGGGCAGCATGGGGGCCTCACACCATCAGGAAACTGGGTTCAATTCCAGCTTGGGTGGCCAACTGTGTGGAGTTTGCACGTTCTCCCTGGGTCTGTGTGGGTTTCTTCTGGGTGCTCTGGTTTCCTCCGACAGTCCGAAGATGTGCAGAATTGGCCATGCTGAAAGCAAATTGCCCTGTAGTATCCAGGGAGGTGTAGGCTAAGGGGATTGGCCACAGTAAATGCAGAGTTACAAAGAACAAAGAAAATTACAGTACAGGAACAGGCCCTTCAGCCCTCCAAGCCTGCACCGACATGCTGCCCGTCACAACTAAAACCCCCTACCCTTCCAGGGACTGTATCCCTCTATTCCTATCCTATTCATATATTTGCCAAATTAAAAGTCACTCTAGTATCTCCCCTGGCAGCGATTTCCAGGCACCCACCACCCTCTGTGTAAAAAACTTGCCTCGTACATCACCCTTCAACCTTGCCCCTCGCACCTGAAACCCATGGTCCCTGGTAACTGACTCTTCCACCCTGGGAAAAAGCTTCTGACTGTCCACTTTGTCCTTGCCCTTCATAATCTTGTAGACCTCTATCAGGTCATCCCTCAACCTCCGTCATTCCAGTGAGAACAACCCAAGTTTCTCCAACCTCTCCTCATAGCTAATGACACTATACCAGGCAACATCCTGGTAAATCTTTTCTGTATCCTCTCCAAAGCCACCAAATCCTTCTGGTAGTGTGGCAACCAGAATTGAACACAATATTCCAAATGCCGTCTAACTAAGGTTCTATATACCTGCAAAACTACCTGCCAATTTTTAAACTCAATGCCCCGGCCGATGAAGGCAAGCATGCCATATGCCTTGTTGACTACCTTTTCCACCTGCGTTGCCACTTTCAGTAACCTGTGTACCTGTACACCCAGATCCCTCTGCCTATCAGTACTCTTAAGGGATCTGCCATTTACTGTATATTTTCCAACTGGATTAGACCTTCCAAAATGCATTACCTTACATTTTTCTGGATTAAATGCCATCTACCATCTCTCTGCCCAAGTCACCAACCGATCTATATCCAGCTGTATCCTTTGACGGTCCTCATCGCTATCCGCAATTCCACCAACCTTTGTGTCATTGGCAAGCTTATTAATCAACCCAATTACATTTTCCTCCAAATCATTTATATATATTACAAACAGCAAAGGTCCCAAGGAACGCCACTAGTCACAGCCCTCCATTCAGAAACGCATCCTTCCACTGCTACCCTCTGTCTTCTATGACCGAGCCAGTTTTTTATCTATCTTGCAAGCTCACCTCTGACCCCGTGTGACTTTATCTTTTGTATCAGCCTACCATGAGGGACCTTGTCAAAGGCCTTACTGAAGTCCATGTAGACAACATCCACTGCCCTACCCTCATTGATCATCTTTGTCACTTCCACAAAAAACTCAACCAAGTTAGTAAAACACGACCTCCCCTTCACAAAACCATGTTGCCTCTTGCTAATATGCCCATTGATTTCCAGGTGGGGTAAATCCTGTCAATCGAAAAATCCTCTCTAATAATTTCCCTACCACTGACGTAAGGCTCATCGGCCTGTACTTAGCTGGATTATCCCTGCCACCCTTCTTATACAAAGAACTGCATTGGTTGTTCTTCAATCCTCTGCGACCTCTGCTGTAGCCAGTGAGGATAAAAAGAGTTCCCTCAAGACCCCAAAAATTTCCTCCCTTGCCTCTCTCAGTATTCTGGGGTATATCCCAACAGGCCCTGGGGACTTGTCTACCTTAACGTTTTTCAAGACCCCCAATACCTCCTCCCTTTTGATCTCAACATGGACCAAACTATCTACACACCCTTCCCCAGACTCATCATCCACCAAGTCCTTCTCTGTGGTGAATACTGACGCAAAGTACTCATTTAATACCTCATCATTTCCTCTGGCTTCACACATAAATTCCCTTCCCTGTCCTTGAGTGGACCAACCCTCTGTCTAGCTACCCTCTTGCTCTTTATATATGTATAAAAAGCCTTGGGATTTTCCTTAATCCTGTTGGCCAATGACTTTTCATGACCCCTTTTAGCCCTCCTTACTCCTTGCTTAAGTTTCTTTTGACTTTCCTTGTATTCCACCCTTTCTTCGTGTGCTCCCAGCCTCCTAGCCTTGATAAATGCTTCCTTTTTCTTTTTGATTAGGCTCACAATATCTCTCGTTATCCAAGGTTCCCTAAACTTGCCATACTTATCCTTCATCCTTAAAGGAATGTGCCAGTCCTGAGTTCTCACCAACTTACACTTGAAAGCCTCCCACATACCATATGTTGATTTGCCCTCAAACATCTGCCTCCAATCTACATTCTTCAGTTCCTGCCTATGGAGTTATGGAGATAGAATGGGATGCTCTTTGGAGAGTCACTGCAGACTTGATGGGCCAAATGGCCTCTATCTGCACTGTAGGGATTCTCTGATTATATCGTGAATGTCACATTCCATTATGTTAATTATTCCGTGAAGTGCCTTATGATGTTCTATTACTTTAAAAGGCAGTATACAAACACAAAGTTGTTGCGGAAGAAAACGAAGATTTTGCCATGAACAAAGGCAAAGGTGTGGGTATTGTTGAAGATGATTAATAAACGCAGAGGTACCACACAAAATGAAACATATGAGGATAGGAAGTCTGAGTTTGAAAATTTCGTATTTACTGACTTGAAGTCAGTGATCAGGAAAAGTTCCAGTGGAAAAGAAGAAGGTAACAGGGAAGAAAGAACATGTGAGTGATGTGGAAAATTAGAGATAGACTGGTGGGAAGTTTGCTATAGTTGAGAGAATTCAAATGGAAGGTGGAACGTAGGGGTGCAAATTAATTCAGAAAACAGAGTACAAGGGGCAAAAACGGAAGTTGCTGGAAAGGCTCAGCAGGTCTGGCAGCATCTGTGAAGAAAAAATCAGAGTTAATGTTTCGGCTCCGGTGATCTTTCTTCATAACTGGGAACTGAGTACAAGGGGAATGGAGTTAGAAATCATCGAATGAGGAGTCCCCCAGTACAGTGGCTGAGGTGGGTGGCGGGGATGGGGAGAGAAAAAAAAGGGAAGAAGCTTGCTGACAGGTAAGGGTTAAACGCTTTCACAAATTCAGATCTCACTACTTGATGTTTAGGAGGCACAATAGCAACATTGGAAGCTAGGCTGCTGTCCCCAAATCCATTTCCACTGACCATTCACATCTCTTTCTTTTGATATCGTATTCATATCTTTCATAATTACACTGTCCTTTCCGAAGTTCCTGTAGCCTGAAACATTTATCTTTAAATCCCATGTAGTTTGTAATCTGCTGTTTGTAATGGCTATCAGGAATGCACTACCTGGGAGGCTGGAAACCTTACAACTTTTAAAAAATATTTGGATCAGTACTTCAAATATCATAACATTCAAGGATACGGTCAAGTGCAGGAAATTGGGATTAGCGCATTTTTGGTGGTAATTATGTTGATGCAGACTCATTGGACTGAAGAGCCTTTTCTGCACTGTATGAATCTATGAATCTATAAAAGCAGACCTCCACTCAACCCACCTATATAGTTACATTCCTCCCACACTGCATCACAGTTTGCAAAACTGAGCCTATCCTACTTACATCTCTCAAAGACAAAAACATGGTGCGAATGTGGGTTGCAGGTTGGCTCAACTGTTCAAAGCTGTAAGACAACCCAAGCTGTGTTTTCCAGTCTGAAACAAAAATCCATGTCCATATTTTCAATTTTCTATCTAAATACAGCCAGTATTTAATTGTAGAATGTGGCAGGATCAATAGCTCATTTGATCTTCTTGTGGTTTTGTTTGTTTGATGTTCCTCATTCAAAAATAAAAGATACAAAAATTCCTCATTCTTACCTTATTGTGTGGAACAAGGTATGAAAATCACTGCACCCTGTGACGAAGTCAGAAGGTTCAGCAGGTAGAGCAGTACAGGGTATAGCTAGAGACACAGATAAGAACAGTATAAAAATATAACAGTGAATACATCTGCCTACACACTAAATCACATGGAGACTGGATGCTATAGAGTTAGTGGCAACTTACTATTACTACTTATCATGTACACATTTTTAGCAAATCGCCAGCTATACTTAATGAACATTAATATCTCAAATTGCATTCAATTTTAGTCCAGGGATTAGTCTCATTCACCTAAATAGTTTAAGTGCCTGTGATTCGCATTATCAAGTAATTGAGGATACCATCAAAATGAAAACTCCTGCCTTAGATGTCATACTGAAGCTCAGCTGTTATTTTACATCTCCAAAATTGCCAAAGTAATAATTAAACACAATAGTTGCTACTGTTGCTTGTGCTGACTTTCTCACACCCAGCACCCCCTCACTCCCTCTTAATATGTATGCATTCGTCAGAGATCAACTTACAGCATTCTTGAACATTTTTGAGACTGCAATAATCATAGTCTTTCTCTACTGAACACAATGACTATTCCTAAAATATTAAAAGAATGTTTATTTCGTTCTACTAGAACACTGACTAAATTCAAGATCTATTGTGAAATTACTCCTTTGCTGATATAATTTGGGTGAGAAGGAAGAAACAAATTAGTTAATACCATAAGAAATAGGAAATAGAAACAGGAGGTTAGCCACTTGAGGCTGCTCTGCCATTCAACAGGATCATGGCTGATCTGACATTCCTCACATTCACTGTCCTGCATTTTCACTGTTGACCAACACTTACTTTTTTCTTTCTTAAGTCCTTTTATTTGTTCTCAATCTAGATTATTTCAGCTCCCATTTTACACAATGACCACGTCCCAATATTTCAGTATTTGGAAAGGTTCTATCCCAAAAATAAAATTGCTATGGCTTCTCTTCTTTCTCCTAGAGTGGTTACTGGTATTCCCACAGATCCATTCATCACCCTATTCTACTTCTTGTCTACATGCTGTCCCTTGGTGACATCATCCAAAAGTAGAATGTTAGCTTCCAAGTGGACACTGACGACATCCAGATTTAACCCACCATCACCGCATCTGTTTACCCAACATCTGTACTGAATGAATAAAAGTAGGTAATTAGCTATAGTCCAAAAAGGACCACAGGCATCTCGTGAATATCCTCCAAATAAATATTGGGAAGATTTAAAATGATTGTTTTCAGTCCTCACTCTAAACTCTGATCAGCAGTCACTGATTCCATCCCTCTCCTTGGCAACAGGTTGAGATTAATCTAGTCCATGTGCAGCCTTGGTATCACATTTGATCCTAAGAGGAGGTCTGGATTTCATGATTCTGCAATCAGCAAGACTGTCTATCTCCATGTCAGCAATATTATTCAATCTCTGCCCCTATTTTAGTTCACAACTTCCCTCTACATTATATGAATTTAGCAAAGAACATTGCAAATGCCATTAAATTCTTCCCAAAAACTTCAGCCTTCTGTCAGTGTCTTTTTTTATAAAAAGTCAGAATTGATATACTCCATTCACTGTGCTCTTTAATTCTATCTCAATGAACAATATGTATTAGCAATGCAGATTAGTATTTCAAAATTCCATACCACTCAAAAAAAGATTGTAACCAGAAAACCATAGCACGTTAGAGTCCAGACTAAGGGACATATGTAATTAAAGTGATTATTAACATTATAAATATTACAGGTTCATTCCAGTTAATAACTTGTGAACACTGTAAAAAGTATTGAAGATAAAATAATTATGCATTATTGGGAAGGACTGCTCTTAATGCAGTTAGCTCATTAGTTGATAAATCAGAACACTGAGATCTGTTGGTAAGGACATGTTAAAAGATATACAAAATTAACAGAAATATTGATTTCAACTTTACTTGTGGCGCTCCCACTTGAATGCTATGTGTCAAAGTGGCTCATAAAGACAAAGGTTTGGATATTTGTGGATTACAGAATCTATATTAAAATTACCAGTACATACCTAATTTAGAACATTAGTTTGTTTAACACTGCTTTAAACAAATGTATAATTTTACCTGGTGTGACGATGCATTGCACATCATTAAAGATTTCTTTTAGGAACTGCATGGTCCGTGATCGCTGTCGATTAGCCTGTGCAAAAGTGTAAGATACAAGAAATTTGTAGCTTAAGAGACTGTCCTTCTCTGAAAGTGAAAATATACATCAGAAAGCTGCAGAGGAAGGACAAAATAGATGTAGTGTGACCTGAACAGAGAGCACCCCTTATACCCCTTTCACCATATTTCAAATCCACTCTGAAAAGTAGTGCACACTTTCAATTTTATAATTCTCTGGTGTTATAGCTGCACTGTAAGGTTTTCATGCAGATGCGAGGATGTGAACTCTTACAAATGAAGTTATGTTAGCAAGGAACTGAGCAGAAATTGGTTAAGCAATTGTTACTTAGTAGCCAGCAAGAGAAAAATGGGCATCTTGTCATTTAAAGGACAAACACTGACAGAAGAAAATAAGCAGTTCAGTAGTTGCAACTGCCTACTTCAAGGAAACAGCTCCTAGGAGAAAAATTGAGTGGGTGGGGGCAGAGGGGACAGAAATAAGAGACTAAATTATGCAGTTAAAAACCAAAATATTAATTATACGAGCAAAATCTACATCTCTGCATGATGGCATACCTGTATATAATCCAGCACAGAGAAATTAGAAGCAACAGCTAGAGTTGCTCGGGTGTCCAGATTCTGTCATAGAAAATATTAATGATATGGTTTAAGAAAAGAAACATGATCTGCATTGAGTGCCAAAAAAATGAAATTGGTACGACAGGACATTGTTGTAACAAGGAAATAACAAGGAAATATAATGCTTTCCATGTATTATCAGAGAGCCAATGGTCAACAGAACCCAAACCAGGATAATATTTCAATATGTAGTGAGAACAGAAGTTGCATGCAGAAACACGCAAAAACTGACAAGCATCAAATCTATGGCATAGAATGAAGTTGATAAACTTTATTTTTGTTGTCTGTTATTTTGCTTCTCAGCTATTATATTTTGAACAAACTTTTTAAAAAGTCTTTAATCTTGTAAGCAGTAGAAACATTTTTAAAGACAACCAGATGCTTGTAACCTCATGTTGACAACACAAGGAATTCTCTGCCTTGCTTCAGGACTGTCAAGTGTTATGCTGTTAATTCTAAGATGCAAATCCAATTGATAACAACTATAAAAGGCCTCAGACTACCTATCCATTTTTAAAAATCAAGATGAACATCAAAACACAGGAAATCTCTCTCATGGTATAAATGATCATTAAATAGTAAAGAAAGTTAATAATAAATTGCAGATGGATAAATATTTTTCTGTCTTCAGCAGAGAAGATACAAAAAAAAATCTCAGTAATACCAAGAAGTCAAGAGTTTGAAGGAAGAAAGGAACTTGGTGAAATTACAATCACTAGGGAGGTGATGCTGAGCACATTGCTGGAGCTATGGTTTAATGAGACTTTGGCTTCACATGGATTTCATCAAGATGCTTAAAAGAAGCAGCCAATGAGGTAGTAGATGTGTGGTGTTAATTTCCCAAAATTTGTTGGGATTGTGGAAAGGTCCCATCTGACCGGAAAGAAGTAAATATAACTCTTTTATTCAGGAAGGAAGGGAAGCAGAAAACAGGAAATTGTTTGTCGGTTGACATCAGTTATGGGAAGGTGTTAGAATTGATCATTGTGGAGATTACAAGCAGTTGTTTTAGGGAAAAAAAAAACTCAAGGCATAATGGGAAAGAGTCAGCCTGGTTGTGTTAAAGGGAAATTGTGTTTAACCAATTTATTGGAATTCATTAAAGGAGTAGAGGTTGAGGGGTGACTTTATAAAGGTATATTAAATCGTGAGGTGAATAGCAAAGGTCTTTTCCCTCAGATGGGTGAGTTCAATACTAGAGGGCATATTTTTAAGGTGAGAGGAGAAAGATTTAAAAGGGACCTGAGGCATAACTTTTTCCAACAGTTTGTATGTGGAATGAATTGCCATAAGAAGTTACAACATTTAAAAGACATTTGATTAGGTATATGAAAAAAAAAGGTTTACAGGGATGTAGGCCAAACACAGGCAAAGTGGGACTAGTTTAGTTTGGGATTATGCTCGACGTGGACAAGTTGGACTGAAGTGTCCATGCTGTATGACTCTATGAGTAACATGCTGTGGATAAAGGGAATCATGCTGGTGTACTGCATTTGCATTTCCAGAAGGCAAGGGACAAGGTGTCACATAAATGGTTGTTGAATGAAATAGATAGGGAGTAACATACTAATATGAATAGAAGATTGTTTGAAAACAGCGCTTGCATTTTTGGGTCTTTTTCAGGTTGGTAGAATGTGACAAATGGTTTCCTCCAAGTGCCTATGCCAGGTTGTGTTGTGCTAGCTCTCACCTTCTTACCATTTATAACAACGACTTGGGTGAGGGGAACAAATACCAGTGGCTAAACCTGCAGAGGACAGAAAGATGAATAGAAACGTATTTTGTGAAGGTGGCACAACAAGGCTGTAGACCTATACAGATGATGTGAGTAGGCAAAAAATCTGGCAGATGGAGTACAATATGTGAAAATGGGAACATGAGAAGAACTGAACATAAAGGAAGGATGTTACCCTTCAATTATAAAGGGCATTTGTGAGGCCACATCTCAAATACTGAATATAGTTTTGGTCCTGTTATTAAGGAAGGATATAAATATATTGAAGGTGGTTCAGAGGAGGTTTACGAGGTTGATCCCTGAATGAACCGATCATCTTGTGATTAAAGATTCGACAATCTAGGCTTGAGTTCACTGGAGTTTAGAAGAATTACAGGTGATTTGATTGAAGTTTATAAGATCCTGAATGTACTTAACAAGGTGGTGCGGAAAGAATTATTCTAGATGCACTGCTTTAAAATTAGGATCGGTCACCCTTTTCACACAGAGGTGGAGATGAGGTGACTTTTTCTCACTCAGAAGACTGTGTAACTTTAGAACTCTCTGCTTTAGAAGATGGTGGATGTGGGGTCATTGAATATTTTAAAGGTGAAGACAGATTCTCTTGCCTAACAAGAATCAATCTCACGTTAGCAAGGGTAGATGGGAATAAGGAATTTGGAAAGCAAACAGATCAATCAGGATCCTACTGAATGCCAGAACAGGCTTGAAAGACTAAATGGTCTAATTCTGCTCCTAATTTCTATGTTTATAAATCAGGTGAATTAATCAGTAGTGTTAATTAAGAAATGACGGGCATCTTTTTCCACTTAATGTAAGCTTTTGAATTGTTTGCAACCAAGTCCAATTATTTTCTTACCATCTTGTTGTACTGAGTATTAAAATCCACGTGCAAGGCCTGCCGTATCTCACTCAGAATGCAAACAGTGTGAGAAACTCTTATCTCCTCCAGTTCTGGGATGTGTACGTCTACCAGTGTTGCACCAAAACCTTTTAGGTACTGCACCGCTACACAGAAGGGACAAAACTAACAATATTGAATCCGAAAACAGTCAAATAGTTAAATTTGTACTTTATGCTTTTAGCTCCCGTTTTATAACACCAGTTTCAATTCCTCTACAAGACAATGGGATATTACATGGTGAGAGGCCTCTCACAATGAGCACTGAAATTAAGGGGTACATTACAATGGCACAGGTGGCAATGACAGTGTTTACATCCCTCTTGTCCCTTTCAAGAATACAATATTGCTGAAAATCACCTAAATAGCAGCCTAGATGACATGTGAAACATCAGTTTAGGATGGTACATTTGACTGAATTATTGAATTTTTACTATTTAATATTAAAACTTGATTACAATTGAAAGCAAGACATTTTGTCAAAGGTTTTCATCTGTCACTCATCAGGACACTCTCAAAAATAGCAATGCAAAGAGGAACAACATTTTTATGCTGTGTGCAAACGGTGTGCTGATTGATTGGCAAGTGGACTTTGAGTGGTAGAGCCAATTTTTCAGGTCAATGCCTTGGCCAATCAAAGTCAGCCTGTCTAGTTTAACTTTAAACAAAATTTGGCAGTTAAATGTTATTTATTATCTCACTGTGATATCCTTGATTAGGGCAAGGCAATATAAGGTGTCCTTTAAGCAATACTCAAGTTCTTTACTGGCAAGAGAAACGCTTTAAATACTCAAATACATTTTTTGACATACTATTTATTAAAACAAGCATTTTTACTGCGGTCCTAATTTAACCTCTTCAATTTATTTTCTTTTCTCATAAAACTCTACATCTATCTACAAAGTGAGCAGCTAACTTGCTTCTCTACCAATAAAATTTGATCGAGCTGTTAACCGTGTGTTGGAGCAATATTTTTCTCTTTCTTTCTTTCGCTGGGTTGTGAATGGCTGTGATTAAGAATTGACCATGTAGGAAGCCACTGTTATAAGACTGCATAACTAACACACTGATACTGGAGTGAAGATTACATTTACACTGCTATCACTCAGTGGGGACATCTTTCAGTTGCCCAGAATCTGACTCTGAAGTGGCTGCTATATTAAAAGGGTGAATTTTCCACTGTTGTGCTCTTTGCAATCAATTTTTTTTTGCCAAGGAACACACATCAGGAAATCTCTCAGATACAAGTTGTAATTTTCTGTTCATTAAAAATTAAGTGGATAGAAACTGGGGTTTATCCCTACAATTTCCTGTGCTAGATTCTCTCCTCTCTCCTTACCCCTATAAAGGTGACTGATTAGCAACATTTGAAAAAATATTGGATGTGTACATGGATGGGAAGGGTTTAAAGGGACATAGACCAAATGTGGGAAATTGGAAGTAGCTGAGCGGGCACCATGGATCAGTTTGGGCCAAAGGGCCTGTTTCCATGCTGTATTACTCTATGACTCTATTAGCTTGTAAGAGTATAAGCTAAAACTCTTCCAGTCTATTGGGGTCCGGAATGTCCTGGCAGAGAACAGATAGAGGCTCTGCTGTCGATTTTCAGCCCTATTATACAGAGTAAGACATTAAGAAAGGAAATTTTCAGTATCCATACCTTCCTGACAAACACTCAAAACTTCAGGGTCACAATCCTGTTAAAATTCAAGACAAGGAGGAAATTTAGAAGAGCACAGAATTTCAAGTAGCAAAACTACCTATCATAATTACAGGAAAACAGTGTTGTAGTTGCCCATGGCTGAATATGACAAAATAGTTATTAGGGATTTTTTTATAACTGACACAATTGAAGGAGATTTTAGCTGATGTAGCATTTCATATAGCTCAAATCATGGCCTTCACAGACAGACAAAATGTCTCTGAGACTTTGTAAGATAGGACTAGAATGCAAACAGCAAGACTCTGATAAGGCAGCTCAGATGAAAACCATCTGATTTGAGATTTCCGATTTTTATATGAAATAGAAAAGAAAAGCTTGACTGACCTGAGATGAGGCTTTTTAAATAATTATAATTAGATATTAGAATAGACACATATTTGTTCAAGAACAGGAGTTTAAATTTATTAGATACTAGGGAATTAAATTTCTGAAGGTGGTTAGCCTTGGATGCAGAGGCTAATTTCGATAAACATCCTTGAAGAAACTTTTTTCTCCGTCAACAAGAAGATTAGAACAACAAAAAGGTATAAACAAGATAATCCTGTAACAGTACCAAGAGACAAATAATGTAGCAAGGCGGGGGGGAGGGCAGAAACAATTTTGAAACAGGGTCACAATGACCTCAACATAATAAACAACTGCTGCTTTGTAAGTTGGATAAGAGGGAAGCTATTCCCAAAAGTGTTAGCTTTGTCACAGAATCACAGTATTGGATTTAACTATGTATAACTTTATAAGTAACTTTATATTAGAGCTGATATTACAAATATGATAATAATTGGTAGAAATTAGCATCCTTTTTAATCTTCTGTACTAAGATCCACAAGGGATATGAAGTGCATGACTGAATTTGAAAAGTCATTAGTAATAAGCAGGTATTTGATGCAGCTGGCAAATGTCTATGAAGAGACATCACAGTGTTCGAATGTGATCAATAATCATAAGAACCCAAGGACAGGCACTCGGGGGTCTGGCAAATTTCACAAGATGACAGGAGGCCCTAAGATGGACCATGAAGTTGTCCACCTTTGATTGTGTATTCACAGGGTTGGATGTGTAGTTCAGAGGGAATGTGGCAAGCACTGATGTCAATGTTGCATGTAACTATTGTAACGCGGTATATATAAATATCTTGTACTTTACTAGGAAAGGTAGAATAAGAGTGACCTCTGATCTGAGCTGTACTTCAGCGGACAACCAGGCCCCAGATGAAAGCCAGACTCAGAGTCCTCCCACACTTGTGGTAAAGGAGATCAATAAATGGGACTTAGACTCCTCTTTAAAATGCTTCTCCAACAACAGGAATCTGGAAATACAGATGCTGCAAACATTTAGGTTGCAAAAGGTCCCACAGCTGGAGATGGAGGAATTGCAGCTTGATTCCAGTCAAGCTGGTGAAGTTGCAAACTATGGGAGAACCGCAACTCTCAGAGTTTATGGCTTTGTGTGTCTTCCCCTTGATATTGATTTCTTGCAAAGGAAGATACTTCCTTCATCGTGTGCTATTTGTGTGGCCTGGCTGGGAATTCCGCCCAGTCCATTATCCCACCAACCCAACAGTTCCTAAACCGGCTAACATTCTGTGCAGCTTCCCTTATGTGTCTTCAAGATCTGAAAATGTGTCATAAAGCCAAAGGAGCTCTTTAAATGATTCCTTCCCTCCTCTCTCCACCACACATAATTTTAAGCAGCTTGTATATCTCCGCTGCCCTTTCTAAGGCAGGGGAAATATTCAGACATTTATGTGGTCATATCCTCCTTGACAGGGGAGTCACCAGCAAGTTAAAGAGGTATATGAAAGTATTGCCTGGACTCACTATCACTGCACACATTCTTGTATATAAAATTTACATTTCCACACAACCTCATTCTGCCACAGACCAGGCTTGGCTTTACCTTGAAGAACTTCCAATCTATCCCAATTTTTATGTTCTTCAGATCAGGACTTCCTATGTTGTTGAAGTTTACTACAGGCTGTTGCAGACCTAAAAGAAGAATAGGAATACGACACCAATTTATATTAGACCTGCTGTGCGACAGTCACCAAGAACTGTTATTACTGATTTGAAAGTAACATTTGCATTCAGACAAGGCAGGTGAAATAAAACAACCTTGGAGCATTGGACCACATTTTTAAAAATAGTAACTTCTCTGCAAATAGAATTAGCCATTTTTTGTAATGTTCTCGTTAAAAGTGTGCAATGTTTTGGGAAAGTTAACGTCACTCTCATTTTTGCAATGTGGGAAATCATTTACAAGAGTTTTCTCACAGATCATTCCAACTGATCTGAGCTTTCTTTTGCACTGGCAGAGATTTTCAAAACATTACATTTCTACATCTTGTAAATTTGAAGCATTATTTAACCTATTTTAAAAATTAAATTCACACGGCAGATAAAAAGCAATAAAATCTAAAGCAAACATTCAGTTAAACTGACAGTGAAGAAAAAGGAGGCACAAAAGGTGACTCCAACTCAAGAGACAGTGCTGCTGGAGACTGTGAAGGGAGGTGGAGGAAATAGATTTTATTTAAATTCTTGCAGGTATAAATTCCTTTATTTTGTTAGCTTTGAATTTGCATCACAAACAACCAAGAAATAAAAGAGACACACTCCTCTCAAACAGTTGCTAACACTGTCCTTAAGGGGAGGGTGTGCAACCAGCAGTCATGATACACATCGGTACCAAGGATATAGGTAGAAAAAGGGCAGAGAATGTGAAAAACGAGTACAGGGAGTTAGGTTGGAAGCTGAAGTCCAGGACAAACAGGGTAGTTATCTCTGGATTACTACCAGTGCCACGTGATAACGAGGTAAGAAATAGGGAGACAGTGCAGCTAAACATGTGGCTACAGGACTGGTGTAGGAGGGAGGGCTTCCATTATGTGGATAATTGGAGCACATTCTGGGGAAGGTGGGACCTATACAGTAAGGACGGGTTGCACCGGAACGGAAGGGCACAAGTATCCTGGGAGGGAGGTTTGCTAGAGCAGTACAGGATGGTTTAAACTAGTTGGGCAGGGGGTGGGGAACCGGATTTATAATTCAGAGGATGAGGTATTCGACCTTCCAACAGACACAACAGGGAGTGAGAGACAACAAGGTGCAGAGCTGGATGAACACAGCAGGCCAAGCAGCAGCATAGGAGCAAAA